CAACAGAATGTTTTAATATGAATTAGTTGCTCTCTTGTACATCATAATTTAATGATTCTTTTTTCTTTCAGCCATTAAAACCAATGCTGTGAGAAAAGGGGATGATCTAATAATCAATGGAGGCAAGATGTGGATTACAAATGGCCCTCAAGCAGATTGGATGTGTTTATTAGCCAATACCAGTCAAGGAAATCCTCATAAAAATAAGTCATTAATTTGTGTACCTCTGGATTCACCTGGTTAGTGATTGTGTATTATTTAAAGAATTATAAATTCTATGTAATGGTCCGGTTTATTTCCCATGAAATATCATTCTATCTATATTTGGCTTTATCTCGCTATATCTGGTGCACATGCTTAAAATTTTTATGCAGTCATCGATCTTGAACTGATAAGAGGGGAGTTAATCTAAGGCAGGTGTGTGGGATATTTAGTTATGGGGTTAGATTCAGGTACGAACCTCCTGGGGAAAATAGTACTGTACCCATTTGTTGTATAAAGTTTTCAGCTTTTGTCTCAGAGAAACGAGTAAGAAATTAGTTGAAAAATTGCAAACGAAAGAAAAAGTGTTTAAAGAAAATAAGATAGAAAGACAAAACGTATGTTGGGCAGCTCATATATTTCCCACTAAATAAGCAAGTTTAATAAGAGATTTTATAGCTAATTTAAAATAACTATAAAAAATTTAAAAAAAACTAAAGGTAAACTCTTAAAGAAATTTTTAGAAATTATTAACAATTAATTTAATTTAAGAAATGTACAATTCTGTAGAATTATAGCATCATTTTGTTTGACTATTTATCTCTAAGTGCAAATGAGGATTAAGAAACTTAAATTTATTTTTACATTTATAACAACATATATGTTTTCCATAATAGGGTAGATTTTGTGAGAAAACGCTTGTGAACCTTATTCAAGAAATACTTATTCAAGAAACAGTTAAGATCATATTTTTATAGCGATATTATTATAGATTTCTTTTTATTTAAACTTTCATAGGTATCAAGTGGAATAAAATTCATAAATTAGGCACTCGGAGCTCTGACACTGCCCAGTTTTTCTTTGAAGATGTGAGAGTGCCCGCAAAAAATATTATTGGGGAAGAAGGAATGGGATTCGTGTATCAAATGTTGCAGTTTCAAGAGGAAAGACTTGCTGCTGTTTTGCCTGGTATATTTTTATTTTATAATCTGTGTATATTTTGTGGAATATTAGGTACTGATCATTTAATTATTAATAAGACGCTGATGAATATTTTTTATAATTTCAACCGCTTACTGATCGCTAAAATTATCACTATATTTTTTGCCAATTTATTTTTAATCAGGAATCTGATCTCTCATTTTCAGTTAAAGGTCTCAAATTGTAACTGCAACTTTGTTTTTGGCAACAATGCAAGTCCCAAATGTTTTTGGACAGCTACAAATAGAATTTATCATCATATCCAGACTTAGAAAAAATTGAAAACTTTCAGTGAACACAAAATATCAATTAAAAAACTTTCTGCAAAGCAATTGATTTACTCATTTAACTAGTTTCAACTCTTTTGTCGCCACCTCAGTTTGGCGAAATTTGTTTGAAAATCATGTACTTTTTCAAAAATGTTTTAATATTTATTGAACTCTATATTAATTCACACAACAGGGATAAGTTTGGTGAAAAACTTAAAAAGGCTGAAAATAGAAATACAAAAACATCATGCTCAAAAAGACTTTCTAAATAATTAAAAAAATACCTGGAATTTGAGCAAGAAAAAAAGTGTATGTAGGAAGCATTTATCAACAGAATGTTTTAATAAGAATTGTGATTATTTATTTATCAATTTAAATTGTGTGAGTATAAATTTCACTGTGTGATTTTTAAATCATGCAAATACGAATCTCTATATTTAGTTGTTATATTGGTGTTTTATTAAAGATGACTTTGCTTATGTCAATTTAAAAACTGTGGTTTTTGCGTTAATATGAAATGAATTAAAATAGCATACTAACCTAAAATGAAAAAAAAAATAGTTTTTAAGAGTAAATCTTGTATTTTTTTTATTTTTAAGGTTAATAAAATTGATTTAAAAAAAAACATTATTGATACTTTTACTTTAGATATCATCAGTGATGACAATATAAAATATTGATTTTTTTTTAGAAAGAAATAATTATGTTTGAAAGAAATATTGTGCAATATTATATGCTCATATTGTTTAATAATAATTATTTGATTTTCGCAATACATTATACCCCTTTTATTAAAGATTATTTATATTTATTGATGTTAAAGTCTCAACTTTTTTTTCAGTTCCTATCAGCTTATCTAGATCGATTCAAGAAACAATTGATTATTGTAAAGAAAGAAAAGCATTTGGTCAACCCATTATCAACAATCAAATCATTCACTTTACCTTAGCTGAACTGCAATCTGAAGTTGAAGCTTTACGATCCTTAACATATAGAGCTGTTTGTAAGTAAAGACTGAATTTTCGTAAAGCATTCTATTTAAGCTATCTATGAAGCCTTAGGTAAAATTTGTTATAGATTGTCAAATAATATCAATTTGGTATTTTATGCGATATTTTTAAGTGTTTTTAGTGCATAGAAATTCCAATATATTTCGTTTGTGACCGTCTTAAGCTTTGAGGGGTTGTAGGATTAGCTTTTGCTGACAAAGGGAAGAATTAAGTTTGAACTGTGTTTGCTTAAATTTTAAAAACTTTAAATAAGCAAAAGTTGGAATTTTTAAATGATTTCATTGTGAACTCTTTTTTAGATTCCCCCCCTTTTCTGTTAAGCCTAGGTAAGATTACACAATTACTTAGAAGTATGATAAAAATTTAAACAATTTCATTCCCCTTTCCCTCTACTATAGAACACTATTAACAATCAATTTAAAGCAATTCAAAAGGAACCAAATTTAGGTTTCTTTTGAATTGCTAATTGCTTTAATTTTATATATAGCAGTTTAGTGTTAAAATCATTGAGCTGTGTTACATAGCAGATTTTTTACCAGTTTCTTATAATTTATAACACTTAATAGGCAGTAATCTGAATGAACTTTTGCATAGCCATGAAAATTGTTAAGAAAATAGAAAAATTTTGTAAAATTCTTTGTAGATTTATATGTATTAATTATGTTAATTTAAGACACTCATTTAAATACACTTACAAAAATAAATGCACAGTTATTAAATATCTATACAATATTTATTCTTGTGATAATTTATAATTTTTTTTTAAGGTTTGAAAATAATCTGCTTCTGTGGAATTTTATTGAAAAATTTACTTTTTAACTTATTTATTTACCTAATACTTTTACCGAAGTTTTTATTTTTATTGGTAAAAAAATGTCGCATTAACCCCTTGGCAATTGGTTAATTTTCAAGAAAAGGGTCATAAAAGTGTCTATTTTGCCAAATACACGTATTTGATTACTGCTAGTATCTAGTTTGAAATAAACTATTTACAATTACCTTAATAATATCTTGGTTCTACTACATGGTGTGTAAAATGAGAAATAAAATTTTTTCTGGGGAAAAGAAATGAATTCGTTTTATTCACCTTACTACTGAACACTCCAGCCCGTCAATATCACGGGAGCGAGAGATAGCGAGCGAAAACTCACCCTGTCATTTTTATGGGTGCGAAAAGGAAGGGGTTAAAGAAAAATCTTTTTTAAAAACATGTTAATAATTATAACGCAATAGTTTTAATAATATTTTGCCCATATAATTTATCTAATTTTGTTCATTTAACATCCATTTGGTTAAAAAAAAAAAGATCCTTTTAAATTTAGAAATATTTTGTTGTTTATATACATTTTACTAAAAAATAACATTAGAATGATGTCACATAATTCTCCCTTGAAACTGAACAAACTTTATCTTAGGATAAATCTTTCAAAAATTATATAACTTCAGAAATTATTTGTTTATAATATTCCCATTATTATAATAAAATCAGATAAATAACCATTCATTATCCAATTTCTTTCCACTCATTAACTAACGGGCCTGATTTATCATAAAGCCTGAGAGGCCTGGCCTAGGCTTCCTATGTGTTTGGGGCCTCCTAAATGTTAAAAATATTTTTTTGTGTGTAACTGGGAACCCATTGTTTTATTTTATTTTATAACCGTTGTTGAACAGCCAACCCAATTTAGGGTTTACGGCTACTAATGTTCAACACCATAGCCTTGTAATTTTGAACCTAATTCAGAAGACAAGGAAACTCCCGGATCAAGTATTGGAAAACATTTGCCTTCATTAAGGACTTTTTTATGCAATTTATTTGACTTTGTGTTACAGGAGCCCATTGTTTAAAAAGAACTTTCGTTACAAGAAATGGACTTATTCTGATATTTTGAAAAAAGTTGTGAACTAAATCAGTAACTTTCTGTTTTCGAGCATAGCTGCAAGAAAATTTCCCCCCTTTTCTTTTGATAGGTCTATTTATATTTGTTTGAGTGATGAGTTATGCATTATTGTATAAATATTTACCTAAACTTGATAACCAACAGAAATGTATTTTTTTTTAACAGCTAAAATGATAGATGGAGAAGATGTCACTCTCCTGGCATCAATGGCAAAATTAAAAGCTGGTCGACTTTTGAGAGAATGCAATGATAAATGTCTTCAGTTCTGGGGTGGAATGGGCTACACCTCTGAAGTAAGAATCAGCCGAGCATTCAGAGATGGGCGACTTCAGTCCATAGCTGGCGGTAGTGATGAAATTATGCTCAACATAATCTCTAAATACATGGGGATTCTACCAAAACCTGCAAAGTAACAAGATTGATTGGTCTGAATAGGCAGCCACTTGGTTCATTGTTTGTTTGATTTCATTATAAATCTTTATTTTTTTAAATATATTTCGAGTTTGTTATTGAAGAACATAACTAAGAAATTTTAGCATTTTATAATATGAAAATATGATGCAAATTTGTAGAAAGGGCAAATAACATTGGTAACAGTAGTTATTTTATTTTTGCAATGATTTTCCTTAATGTACATTTTCAAAATCATTGTCAAAATGCCTGCTGAGTATTCGCATTAGGTGTCTCAAATCAATATTTAACCAACGAAAGAACTAAAATGCTATTGAACCTCTGCAGAGGAAGTCGGGAACAAATATGTCGAAACCTGCTCGATTGCTAGAGGAAACAGAATTTGAAAAGCATGTATTGGGAACATAAAGTTTCACGAGAAAACCCAACTGGTTATGTTGTTTTCATCCCGCCTTCCTTTCTAGTGATTTCACAGTTTTTTTTATAGAGGTTTTAATTCTTCCTTGTTTTATTATTAACTTGTGACCCATAATATGTTTACTTTTCTTTACTTCATTCCTGACAAGGATTCTAAAAATAAATAATAATGGTGGTCATTATAGAATACCCTGTATAAGGATTACTCATGTTAATTTAAATTAAAAAAGCTAATTATTGTAATGTTAATGAATAGTCTTTTGATTTTTGATGTCTACAAATTAAAATAAAAAGCATGTTGATCATGGCCAACATGCATGCTGACATCATTTCGCATGTTGTTAACATTCAGAAATCAATAATATTTCAGAATTCATTAACATTCTACTGCATGGTTTGCATTCTATAGAAAATATTAATTCGTTCTGCCAAATCCTGGAGAAAGGCCTTAAATTGTTAACTGCTTCCCGACGTTTCGATACTTAATGCAGTTTAACATGCTCTTCTACATAATCCCTTGTTTATTAAAAACTATGAAAGTAATGTATAAATATTATTTATTTATTGATGTAATTATTTATGCTTTGTATATCTTATTACTAATGATTTTACGTTAGCTTAGTGTGTGTGTTGTATGACATTCAATTTGTAATGTTTTCCAAATCCTAATTTGTGTCTTCAAGGTGTCATACTCTCATTTTCTTAATTTTTATTAATTTGTAACATAGACATCGCTTTTAACTGATTTATACTTAGATATTTAATTTTGAAAAAGGAGCCATCATTTAGTAATTTTTTTAAAATTAAATATGAATGATTTTAAAAAGAAATATACTTAAATATTTTTAAATGAACAGTTATTTAAACAAATTTAATGAGTTTTTTTTTGTCTTTTTAAAAATTATTTTTTAAAAATCTAAGTAAGAAATGCATATTAATAAGGAATGTTTTTTTTTAAAGTTTAATATGAAATGTTTTCAAAAATACATTTAATAGTTTTTTACTTTTAGCTATATCCTTATTATAAAAATGTCATTATTGATCCTTTATTCTTGAAGGGGAAAAATTGTTAAGTTTGTTAATTAAATTAGTTATGCATAAAATGCTGTGATTAAACTATTTCAAGTTTTATTCACTGAAAATATACTTGCATGTACAAATCACTATGTGCCTTGAAATATAAATATTGTATTTTTCTTACAATTTTATTTTTGCTATTAATTTTATTCTGCTTTGAATAAAAAAAATTCAAATAAATTTCAGTGTCCTCTATTCAAGCATTTCACACTTCACTATCATTGAGCCACTCTTTTATAAGTAGCAAATTATTTCTCAAAAATTTAAAATTAAATTTATAACAAAATTTTAGTTAATGAGCGTAATAACATTACATAAATGTAACTTTTAGCAGATTACGTTTAACAATAAATTGTGAAAAATGCTCCTATGAAAGACATGGTTGCACGTTAACTCTAGAAAATCATAGATTCATCAATTAGAATACTAACAGTTATTTCTTTTAATATATTTTAATTGGACATTTTATGATTAGGTAAATTTCAACTTAAATATTTTAGGAAATATTTTAACTCAACAAACTGTTAAGTATTATTATATAGATAAATATGAGCTTAATTATATCTCATAAAATCTATAATGCAAATTATTTTTATGAGTTTTTTGGGTGTCCATTGTATCATTACAGATCAAGTTGCAATTTTCCTAAAATCAAAATTTGTTTTTGTCATTTTTTCCCCAAATTAAGGTTTTATGAAGCAATTTTAAAACCATTTGAGATAAATATATATACTTGTATCCGTCTTTAAATACGTATCATAGACTTTGTTTTTGAGTCAAAATTAAGTGTTTTATTGGTGAAAAAGTTATTTAATAAGTAATTATACAATCGACATTGAAAAATTTATATATAAAAAAAAAAAACTTTGCATGACATTACCATTAATATTTTGAGATAAATGTTTTCAAAAGTTCATCTTTAAAATAGTATCCTTACATTTTGTTTTATATTATATCATGAATTTTTCTGAACTTTTGTAATTGAATTATTTTAAATATGTTTTTTAAAATGTATATTTGAATAAAAAAATAAGTTAAATAAGAACTTCAGGGAAAGAATAACAGATTAAAAAATTAACATGCTGGGAAAGTGGACACAAAATTTGCATTTCATATGTAAGTAAACACATACACAATAAAATATTTATTAACAATGCATAATACAAAAATAAATATATTACGTATATAATCAAAGATAAATATATGAAATATTATATCAGTAATAAATACTATTCTATACAATTTCATACTTTTGATAATTAACAGTAAATAAATGTGTAAATATTTTTTTTAACAATAAACAATGGTATGTAAAATTATTATTTAAAATGATACATATCACAGATTATATTATTTTAGGACGTATGTAAAAGGTAAAAGATAATAGTTTGCAAATTCTGATTTTTTTTTAAAATGAACTTCTTTGACTAGATTTTATTTAATGATAGTAAATGGGAATAAAAAATAAATATCATAAGAATATACTTTTCAAAAGCATTTTAGTGTGTTAATTTATAAAATAAAGATAAAAATTTGAAGTATACAATTACTATGTACCAAAAATTATTTACCAATAAATCGATTTTCATTAAAAACAATGAAAAATGCTTAATTTTTGTAACTGTAATCTAAAATCTGTATTAAGATCAGTTTTATGACTCAATGATCTACTACAAAAATCATAATTACATAAAATACCACAATTTGTGAGATAGGAAAGATTAAAAATCGAAAATAATGATTAAAAGGAGGGTCAACTAAAACAACTTTAATTTCCAAATACCATTGAAAGGTAAATGTATTTTTATTCAACAAAGAAAGGGGTAATACTTTGTGCTATATAGGCACTGAGGCAAAAAACAATGTTAATAAAGCACGAATGAAAGTACATAAAGTTATATACTATGGTTTCAGTTCTATAAACAAGAACCTTCAGTGTCTAAACATCAAATGTTTCAATTCATCATTTCAATTGACGTTTAGACATTGTAGAAGGTTCTTGTTTATAGAAGTGAAACTATAGTATGCAACTTTATGTACTTTCATTTCTGCTTTCTTCACATTGTATGTTCAAAGTAAGCAAAAGAAGGTATCTTTGTACTAGGTATCTACCTAGGTATCTTCGGCTGTCATGAGTATGAAATTGATTTTTAACCAGTAAAATATTTATTTATCATCCCTTTCTAATATTATTCTCTATAATTCATAAGTTTTTGATTTTTACACAAAATTACAGGTTAAAAAATAAGTTTTGTTTGTGCAAGATAAAGATATTTAGTTAGTTTTTATTAATTTTAAATGCTAAATAAGTCATTTATTTTTTCATATTTTATAATGAATTCTTTTATAAAACTTAGTTCAGTACAACTATTTAAGAGTTAACTTTTTACATTATTGCTAAAGGATTAGTAAAAAATACTTAATGAGTTTTTACAACAATCAAAAATTAAGAATTTGTAATATCTGTTGATGAAGTTACAATGGTAACTGAGTAAAATTTGTAGATTTAAGTTTTACTATAATTGAATTGGAAACAAAATCTGAAGAACCAAATCTGTATTAATGTAATAAAAAGTTTTTGAATTAATTAATTTTAAATTTTGATGAAACAGTCCGTTAGATATTTGATGACAAACAAGAAAGATTACAAAACAACTGGGAAAGTGGTGCCCCTAGTTATTATTTAAAAGTTATTTTAATATATGTGTAGTTATTTTAACATATTTGTAGTTTTTTTTAACATATTATAACTCGAAAAATATGGCTAAAAACGTTTTTGTTTCAGTTAATTGTTAAGAATAATTTTTTTACATTGTATTGCTGTTCAAAATCCTTAATTTTTGTAAATTTTCTTGCACTACCATGGCCTTGTCAAAAAAAAAAAAAAATGATGAAAATAAAAAGTATTTTACTTTTAGGTTAAGAAAAATTTCAACACCCATCAATCACAAGCTGAAAATTATAGTTCTTTACATATATGCTTTTTAAGTTCTTTCATGAGCACTAAAAATAGTGAAACACAAGACACTTTTAAAATTAGTCTAACATTTTCAGAGGTTGAGTGGATTTTAAATCTTTAACCTATGTAAAAATTTGTTGTTCCAAAACATAAATGATACTTATGTGGTAAATCCCTCTAAAATGGAAAAACAATTAAGCGTGTTGAGTAGCATACACATAGCAATATTAAAAAAATCTCCTTCAACATTAGTACAATAAATACAAATAAGTTTCTTTTTCAGTTGTGCTGAATACTGTTTTCTCTGATGAGCAATAAAAACCAACTTTTACATATTTTTAAAAAAAATTTCTTTTTTTGTTTTCTAATTTTGTTAGTTTCGAAAAACTGATGGTCAACTTAAGGGCAGTTAGTATGTCACAAATTTTTTACTATCTATGAATATTTTAAGAGATAAATATTTTATTTTATAAGCTATGGTGAAAAAAATTTAAATATTTTCTACGTCTCAATAACTGGGATGATAATTTTCCAGCTCTTTTTTCTTTAATTGAAGCAGCACTCAAATTAAAGTTTAGATCTTGATTTTAATATAAGAGAAGATTTCTACTATTTCATAAAAAAAACTGTATAAGCACGCAGAAAAATAAAATTCATTTATTAAAAATTGTTTGTTAAAATATCTGAGATTTTGTAACTCGTCATCTAAGTATTTTGACCCTGTATTCTCCTTTTGACTATCTCCTTGGGTATAACTATATACATTAATATTTTCTGTAATGGTATTTTAAACATTTTTTTGTTTTGTTTTAGGCAAACTAATGTTAGAAATGAGAGTGTACTTATCCATGGATACATTTAAATACAATAAAGAATCTCACATAAAATCTATTTTTCTAATTATCTCAAATTAAATTCCTTAGAAATAAATTAGTTTCATAAAGCATTGAATTATAAAAAATTCTATTGCTCTAACTGCAGGAAACATGCAATTGAAATAATAAGATTAAGAAAATTCAGATGTAAATGCTGGTATTTTCAATTATCAAATAAAATTAAGTATTGAAATTGTTTTTTTCTCCTCAAATCTCCAATGACATGCACAATTAATTACGGTATAGAGAAGAACAGCAGAATCTTAACATAGAAAAGTTAATTTGCGGATGATAAAGGAATTTTTTTTCTATATGAATCAATTATGTAACTCACACATGAGTTAAATCTTAGTCAACTAATTTTTACAGTTTCATAACTTTAATAACACCTAAAGAAAATAACTTAAAAAGTTTTAAACCTCATAAAACCAACCTAACACAAAATTTGATCAGATTATCACCTTGAATTAGATCAGAGGGACTTCCACGTATTTTCAAGGTAGAAAATTCATATAAACAGATGTTATTATGATTTCTCTCTGAATGCATTTTACAAGATTAAAACTAAACTGAACACATCAGCGTTATTAAAAATTTCACAGTAGTTGTAATTAATTATTCAGAAACATAATTTTTTGATCTAGGAAAAAAAAAAACTTATAGACAAATAGTTAATTTTCAAAAAAGTCATCAAATGAACCTGGTGGCATAGCGTGGTGCCAACCTTTCTTAAGCCTCTTAGATAATTCGATCATAGTATTTGAATATTCATCATCATCACAAACATTATTTATTTCGTGAGGATCCAGTCGGTGGTCATACAATTCTCGTGATATAATGACAGGCCACTCTGGTTTAAGCTCCTCGACATCAAACCTCAGCCACTCAGTATAATGAAAGTCTGCTGTTCTTATAGAATATCCCATATAATTAATGTCTTCAAGCGATGGTCTATCACTATTGTTTTGAGCAACAAGCGATGGTCTTGGATACTGACTAAAAGCAGCTTGTTTCCAAGAAAAATCAATCCAGGGATCAATGATAAGATGTTGAACAAGAGGAAAGAAACTTAGACCTTCAGAACAAAAGTTTGTAAGATATAGCCTGCAAATCGGTGGGATTGCTATGTTAGCTATTTCAGCGAGTGTTGGGAAAACGTCAACCAATTCAACTAACTCTTCAGTAACATATTTAGCAGAAGGATTAGATGATTTTAAACTTGGAGAGTTTTCAAAGGTAGAAGTTTGTTTCCTGATCACTGGAATGTGGTGGAATGGTTCTCTTTCTTTCTCCATTAATTCAGGAATGTAGACTAGTAGTGGCACACGTAAAGCTACTTCAAAATTACTATATTTTGACCACTCCTGATGTTCACCCAGAGACCAACCTGAAAAATATATTATGAATACAGAATAATTATATCAAGATAATTATTAATTATTTAAATTACTATATTTTGATCACTCTTGATGTTCACCCAGAGACCAACCTGAAAATTATGTTATGAATACAGAATAATTATATCAAGATAATTATTAATTATTTAAATTACTATATTTTGATCACTCTTGATGTTCACCAAGAGACCAACCTGAAAAATATGTTATGAATACAGAATAACTATTTCACAATTTAAGAAAACTGAACAACCAAAAATAAATGTTGAGCCCTCCCTAAGGACTTAAATTATTAGCCAGTAAATTAGCTAAATATCTAAAGTATTAGCCAATTTTCGAAATTCTTAACCAAAGGCAAAACTTTAAAAAAAATTATGATTGAATTTTTCCCGTAAAAAAATTCAAATCAAAATACAAATTTACTATAAATAGAATTATTTTATAAAATGCAAATTCATTTTGTAGTTGAGGAGGAGTAAATGAGTAATGAATGGGAAAGAAACAGGAATAGGTTGGAGTTAATTATTGTTGACTTCTTAGACTTGAGCAGTAATATAAGGATAAACCTGAAGCAACATTATGTTATTGTCACGAGAAAACATATTTTCAGCAAAAATAGTTGGATGATAATATGCATCTTGTTACAACTTAATTTGTTTTATTGACTCAAACTGTAGGAAAGTATTTTGTCACGCGATCTGGCATCGAATGTATTAATCTGTATTTTATGGTTAGTTTATCACAATTTTTTTCACCGAATTTATGATTTTATCGCATTTAGCAAGGTGGCGAATGCTTAGTGAGTGCCCTGTAAATGTATTATTAATATGTGAAATTCACCTCAATGGTATAAATATAAAGCTTTAGATAAGACAGGATGTTTTGTATTTTGTGATTTATATTATAACTGTAGATTGTTCGCATTTAACTTCCTCAAAATTAAAAAATTTATTTCACAGATGGATTGGGATTTTTCACAAAACAAATTAAACAAAGCAGGAACTTGCTAGTATAACGTGTTAGCCATTAGAATTAATTGAATCGTTTAAGGATAATAGTCAACGTTTAGGTCAAAATGTAAACAGTTTAGAAACTCCATGCTTCTAGATGTGTCTATTGCATTTGACCTGTACGTCACTCATGTAAATTAATTAGTATTTAAGCTAAAAAAAATGCAAAAATGTATTTAGGCTTGAATTATATTTATGTAAATGCCCAAAAAATATTTTTTTATATTCATAAAAAAACTTAAGGTGTACAATAAATTATAATATTTGATTGCTCTATAACACAGTATAGCTGTTGTCGAATGTAAAAGGCATAAACAAGGTTATATGACATTAATACAAACTGGCAATTTAACTATAATAGTCAAAATAATTATGATTAATCAATACAAAAAAAAGGAATTTGATATGATTTCAAATACTAAGATAACTAGTTATAATTTTAAGCTTTGTATTTTTATTATGCTATTTACAAAGAAAATAGTTGTTTCTAATGTCACTTGCCAAACATTCACAACAAAAAATTTTTCCTTTCAAAATATACTAGAACAAAAGTCACAAATATAAAAAAAGAAAATTCAAAACTAAATATTTGTGCATTTTTAAAGAAGGGAAGGATGAATATTATACAATAATGACATTTGTGGATGGTGTAGCATTACGAGTTTTTCCTATTAATTCCTGCTTCTTAGAATAAAATATTCAGATATTTTTGAATTATATTTTTTATTCCTTATTAAAAAGAAATAAAAATGCACCCAGACATTGCTGATAAAAACATCCAATTTTTGCACAATTGTAGGGAATTAACAATTAAAAGCTTTATGAAACCAAAAGAAACTTAGAAATTTTCTGGTGTATCCTTCCAATATGTGTGTTTGAAAGGTTAAGTTTGAACTGGCTTGGTATTCTAGTTAGTTTAGTTATTGAGATTCAGATTTCAGTTCTTAAATTCAAGATTTAGTTTTCATTCAATACGACTCTGCACAAGATCTTTCTAAGTTTTATTTGTTTAACTGAAACAAGAAATAAAATATTGTAAACAATCAATATACAAAATAATTAGTCTTCTTGCCTATTTTAGCTATTGATTTCCTTAAACATTGCAAGCCTCTTTATTTTTTCTACTAATGCCATCTGTATTTAGCTCCAGACAGTTAATTCCCCATACTCAGATATGTATAATATACATGAAGGCATGGATGCCACTTGCAGAAAATTTGCCATCGTCCCGAAATTTTTTTTTGTTCACTCATTACTATTAAAAAAAACTCAAGAAATTATGTTATATCTAAACTCATATCACTCCTTTTCTTAAATTGTAACATCAAGTACGTAATTTGATTGTAGTATTTTTCAGTGATAAAATACATTGATGTAACACAGTTTCAATACTTTTTAATTTTGTATTATTACATATTGTAAAATGAGTAGCACAAGCAAGAAATCAAAGTTATTTAAGAGTAGGAGAATCGGAAAGTGATTCGTATAAAAACTTATTAAAAATTTCATTGAAATGTTTCTGAGCAAACATTTCTGTTACAAAGAAAGCCAAGCATAAAAGAAAACAAATGAAATCAACAACTCTATTTATATTTTCATAAAACTTCTAATTTTAAAAAAATATATGCTAATATGTATATCAATCTAATTTTTTTTTTAAAAATTAAAAAATGCTTTTAAAAGTGCTTTTTAAACACATTTCATCAAAGTTAGATGGTGATGAAAAGGTTTTAACAAGTCAGAAGAATTAGTAAATTGCTTGTGTAGAAAGTCTTTTTGAGATTTTGTTTTTGCAGAAAGTTTTTCATTTTATCTAAGCATGCCCATACTATACAAGGAAAAAAAATACATACCATTATCTCCAAGAAGTACAATAGTAGTATAGTCGGCAAATTTGCTTTCTTCAAGAGCATTTAAAATTTTCCCAATCTGATCATCAATATAAGATACAGATGAATAATATGCTTGGCGAATACGTTTCTAAAATTTAAAAAAAAAGTTTTAGAATTTAAAGTTTTAAGTACTTTAGAGGTGTAAGATATAAATATTCGACAAATGAAGTGGTTAAATATCATCAGAAATAACTTAACCTGTAAGTCTTCTGGCAATGGCCCATAAGGAAAATTCACATTTAAATTTTTTACATCATCTTTTTCCCTAATGTCCATCCATGGATTCCATGATATTTTAGGTAATCTTGGTGGAATAGTGTGATTTATTGCTAAGTCCATTGATTCTAAAGGATATAAATCTGAAAAATATAATTTAACATTATATTATTATATATTATTATTAATATAATTTAACAAAAAAAAGATATTAAATATTTTATAAACATACTAATATATTATTTAATGTATCAAAAATAAAATAAAAGGTAATTTATCAAAAGAAAATTGATTTTAGGGGAATAATTTTTTTTTTTAAGTAAGAAAAATATGAATATTCAATTTAATTATTTCCTTTTATATTTATAGTTCTACTATAAAACCGCTAAACTATAAAATAAAGATATTTTTTGCTCTAGTATTTGGTTTTCAAATTTATAAAAAAAGCAAAATAATATGTAATTAGAAAGTATCATTAGAAAATGGAATAAACTAAGTAAATACAGAAGGTTGGAAAGAGTAAAATACTACTTATTAATAAAAATATTAAAAACACATACCTAAATATTCTTTAGGAAATTTGAATGGAATGTGTGGTTTATTATATCCAACTGCCAAGAAAAAAGGACCTGTTTTGTTCTCTTCTCTACTTTTATTTTTCAAGAAGTCAATTGCAAATTCGGTACTCTCAATGTCAGGCAAACTTGTCTGGTCCAGTTTTACAGGGCATATTAAGTTAAAAGCTGTTTCATTATCCGGTAACTGACAAAACTAAAACAAGTAAATATTATAAAAAAAATTTTTTTAATTAAATTTTCTAAGCATGCTTCAAATGTATTTTATTAAAGCATAAATACTTCAAATTTCATTCTAAGTTTATTTTAACAGATTCAGCATCTTCAACAAATAAATCTGTTTACTACAACTCAGCCTTTCCACATCAGACAAAACTGTTATAAACCGATGGTTCTTTATTTCTACTAATAAATCAGGTAATTGACACTGATCATCGCTCACCCTTCCTATGCTGAATCGGTTAAACTTTTAGTCAGTGAATACAGATTCTATTATACATACAAGTTTCTTTAGAAAGAAAAGTTAAAACTTTGTACAATTGAAGGTAGTTTTAAATTTCAAACAATACAAACTACAATTTAAATACTGGTTTTCAAGTATCAGTAGCTACAAATAATTGAAACTGTAGTTTTAATCTTTAATAAGTATAAATCATATCATAATTTAATCAGTATAATGGAATTGCATTTGTGAGAGGTAACTTTTATTTTATAAGGAATTAGCTAAGAGCAATTAATACTTTTTCAAAATTTTCAAAAAATTTATAATGTATGCTGATTTCATTTATACAGTAAAAATTACGTCCAAAAAATAAAGATAATTATATTTTTTATTAAAACTGGCTTTAGAGATTTCTTTTTAAGTGCAAAATACAATTTCATTGGATTTCACAGCGACAAGGCATTTGAGATATTAAATTTAATGTTTTGTTTTCGGTTTCTTATGAAAAAAAAACATCAATTATTATTGCTTGAAGAATAATAATAAATATCAGTCTTTTTGGAAATAATGTTTTCATTAGTCATAATTTCTAAATTTAGCTTACATTTTGTAAAATTGAGTAAGTATTATTGAATAAGACATAATAATGGCAATATATTAAATATAAATAGTGTTTAATCTTGAAAGTTCCCTACAAATTTTTCCAGATATTTTTAACATTTTCAACATGTTTGCAACTTTTAAAAGAAATAAAAACAAAGAAACATATATATATATATTAAAGAAATATATATTTAAAAGTCAAAACTTTTATTAGGTATAAGGCAACGTATAAGGATTTTAAACTAAACTCAGTAGTGCGACAGCCCATAGAGGGCCAAGGCCTACTGTGCCCATCTCAGTTTTCTTGACCTTAGACTCTCAGGTGCAGGAGCAGATGTTCTGGTCAGATGGCCAACCAAACGCGGAACCCCCAGTGTTTAGCTCCCAAGCATGCTTGGTACTCATTTATCAACCCACTGAAGGGATTAAAGGCTGATAAGGATTTTATAAGGTAACATATTTTGCATTTAAAAATTTTTTTTACACACAGTCGAAATTGGGTAAATCTTGAACAATAGTAATTAAATTTTGAAAAATATGATAAGTATGGTTACTATATAACACATTTTTAATTTCAATACTCGAATCAAACTTTAAAGTTGAAGACCTAGAGGTGAAACAACTTTATCTTGAAGATTTATTTAATTTTCCTCTTATAATCATTATGCAAGATATTAGAATCTTTACATTGCTTGCTCTAAGATAGCAATGAAAAAAAGTCGACAAAAATAATTTTTATTTAAAATATGCTATCAGAAATAGCTAGTTATTCTATATAGAAGGGGGAATGAGCTAGTAATAACTACTTTCGATTAATACTTTACTTTTACTACTAATTACTACTTTTAAGTAATACATAATTTTAAATTAATAAGTATAATTTAAACATGATACAGCACACAGCAAATATACTATACTAAAAATGATATTAAAGAAAAGGTTAATTTACCCACAACCAAATACAAATTATGCATCAAAGAATTCCAAAATAATGCATCATCAAAACAAAGCAATATTATAAAACTTCTATTTTTTTTCCTTCACAATATTATACCTCTTCTAAATCTTCAGATGGAGGATGGTAAGGTACTCTGGACCAACTCTGAGGATAATCATCTGTCTCATTAGATAGAAGGCCTAAGAGAAAAAAAGTTTAGAGTAAAACAATAATAGTAAAATTTACATACAATATTAATTTCTTCATTCGGGTAATATTTAGGAACATTATAATTAAGTAAATATTTTTTTTATTTTTGACAATTATTAATAGATTATTAATTTTATATATAATTTTTCTAAACATCTTAATTTTAATTGTAGCATTTTATTGTGAAGAAAACATTTAACAGTCGACGAGTGTATAACCTGGTTACTTCCTAGCACACCAAATAAGTTTTTTTAAATGGTACTCACTAGAGAAACTGCGATTAGCTAATTTTTTTAATTAGTTCAAATGTTAATGTTTTAAAAATGTTGTAAAAGTAGAATGTGTGAATAGCACATAATGAAAAAAAAATGTTTCTAAGTAAAAAAAAAAATTATAAACACATTTGAACAAAAGTACCAGAGTGATAAGGCAATGATTTTTTATAAGTAGTTTATTAATACTCTGATTTTTTAAGGGTTAATTATTTTTTGTTTGAAAAAAAATACCACTATAAGAAAAATCTTTGGATTCAATTACAAATTTATCATGAACCTATTCCATTTATGCCTAGCTTTCTTTTTAAAAGACTTTTACTTTTTTAAAAAAGGGAAAAATTTTACTTTTTTAAAAAGGGGAAAAATTTTACCTTTTTAAAAAGGGGAAAAAATTTTACATTTTTAAAAAGGGGAAGCAATTTTGCTTTTTAAAAAAGGTTAAAAATTTTACTTTTTTAAAATAGAAAAAAATTTTATTTTTTTAAAAAAGCGAAAATTTTTACTTTTTTAAAAAAGGGAAAAATTTTACTTTTTTAAAAAAGGGAAAAATAATTTTTATTTTAAAAAGGGGAAAAAATTTTACTTTTTTAAAAAGGGGAAACAATTTTACTTTTTTAAAAAAGGTTAAAAATTTTACTTTTTAAAAAAAGGGAAAAATTTTACTTTTTTAAAAAAGGGAAAAATTTTACATTTTAAAAATGTAAAATTTTACATTTTAAAAATGTAAATTTAAAAGGGAAAAATAATTCTTATTTTAAAAAGGGGAAAAAATTTTACTTTTTTAAAATAGTAAAAAATTTTACTTTTTAAAAAAAGCGAAAATTTTTACTTTTTTAAAAAAGGGAAAAAATATTAGTACAAGTGGTTCATTGTGAGGATCAATTTTACACAAACAAGGTAGTTCAGTCTACCATAATATATTACTAATAGAAACATTTAAAAAGGGATCTGAAGCAAGTCATAGTAATTATTTCAAGCAAAAATGGTGGTTAACAGAAATAAATATCCCCTTGGAGTAAACAAATATGTATTACCACTTTTTCAGGTATAGTAGCAATGTATAGACTGTTTAATGAGCCTGGACAAAACTAGACTTATTATTGTTTCAATGACAAAAAGTGATTGCGTTGAAATGAATAAAATATTAATAGCTGATGAGTGATATCTTAAAATGCATATTTAATTTTTCTTATCAAAATTCGAGCATTGCCCTTTTAAAATGAAATTTTAAGAAACAAAAACTCTGAATACAACTTCTAGAAAATCATGAATTTAGAAAGAACTTTACCAGGTGAAAAAACTTTTCCAATGCTAACAGTTTCATACCCATGGTTCTTGAAATGTTGAGGCAAAGTTACAAAATCCCCAACAAAGTCTCTCCAATAAAATCCTTCATCATATAAGTGTAGATTATCTGGTCTTCTGCCAGTTAGGAATGAAATGCGGCTAGGACCATCAAGAGCTTGCTTGAAAAAAGGGAATAGTATTAAGATAATATGAGAAAATATAAACACATTAGTTTATTGAATACTTAATAACATTAAAAAAAATAGCATTTTATTTGATAAATTATTCTTAAAAAATATGAAATTAAAGAAAAATGTATACATGTTCATTTTTAACAATCTATTTTAAACTATTCAGAGAAAATGAAAACTGATTCTAAAAGTTTGACTTCCATCATATCAATATTCCTGTTTAATTCACTAAAAATTATATACCTGCTTCTTGTTGGAAAATTAATAAGATGTGTTTGTAAATTTCAAAAATATAATTATTTCCAAGAACATAAAATATGTAATTTTATTTGAATTGCAATAAGTTAAAAATTTATAGCAATAAAAAATTGAATTATTTATCTTGATGTTACATTTCATAACGGTTCAGAATAGAAGATTAACCAATTCATTACTGAATACTATTTTCATAACTAAGAAGCAAAGGATTTGAATTTTGCTATCAATTAGAATATGTGTTAATGTACAATGAACATCAAAAATAAATCAAGACATAAGAAAAACAGAATTTTTGCAAAAATATGATAATATTTAACAGAATTAGCTTTGATTTTCTTCAAATGCTTACTCTTAATTTGAAGTATTTCAACTTAAGCTAATATAAAAGTTTTAGTAAAACTTACAAATTAGAGGTCATAGGAGCAATACCTTAATAAAAAAGTAGGGAAAGAGGCATTTTTATATATATATAAATAAAACACTTATAAATATGGTAACAAAATCAATGGAGTTTTTTTTTCATGAATTGGCAATGAAGAGCTGGCCATAAAATTGAAATGCAACTCGTACATAAAAGTTAGTAAACAGCCATAAACATGAAGAGAAAAAAAAAAAAATTTGAATTGCAGAGTAAATGCATTTTTAGAAAATAAAAATAAATATTTGAAAATTAAAAAATATAACTTTCTTGAAATTTTAAGATACCATTGGATAAATTTTACACAAATTTTGAATACTTTTATTTAAAATTACGTAACTTAAAATTTTACTATCAAACTGTCTTTTGGCCACTATTAAGTAAAATAATAAATGATTCTTAAACAATATTATTATTCTGCATTACTCTGGAAAAACTAGTTTTTTTAATGATGTGCAATCAAACTTTACTGGGGCTCAAGAAACATATCAAAACATACAAAAAGTGAAACTAATATTTAGGGACCTAAACTAATTAATTTTTGAATTTTGTTTTGTGGCTAACCCTCATATTTTGATTGTCTAGAATTCAAATCTATATATTAAAATAAAATGTATGTTTATTAAGAGAAATATTGTTTTTGGGCTTGATTTTGTAAACGAAATATTTGTTAACACTAATTAATTAGCATATTTGAAGTTAAGAATTCCAACCACAAAGATTTGTACTTAGTGTGCAAAAATCGAATCATTTGAACAAAATGTTTTTTTTATAACTAATTATACGCATGCTGTATAAATAAATAAAAATTCTATACCTAATAAAATAATAAGTTGTTAAATATAAACTAAGACTATACAAAATTGATATTTGTAATCTTATTTCAAAACAGTTTTAGGTGCACAACTTATAAATTACAAGAACTGAATAAAGGTTAATATAATATAATAGAACTAGAACAATTTGACTGGTTTCCAGTTAAAGATAGTAAAAATACTTCAATATTCATTGCACATGACAAAAATAATTTAATCTCAGAAAGATTTATATGATACAGATTTATCTGGTTTTACATCACAATTATTAAAACTACACAACAGCAAAACGTTTTTACAAGTGAAGAAGATGCTTCACTATTTTAATATCAAATATAAAATTATGTACCTGTGTGTAAGCATTTTTAAAAAGGACACTCCTCGCTGCTAGCTGGTCTATATTTGGAGTGATGGCCTTTTCATCACCATAACAGCCTAAAACAGGTCTAAGATCATCGACCACTATAAGTAAGAAATGCTGTTTGCCAGAGTATGCAGCTGGAAGAAAATTAAAATCAAGAAAATCCATGAAAAAAAGTAAAAATATACCCAAAATTTTATTAAATAAAATATTAGAAAGGAATACTTTTAATTCTGAAATAAACTCAAGAATTAGAAAACTCTTATAAAAAAAAGTTACGGAAAGTAGCTTAAATTAAACTAGAAAATTTATATACTTTTGAATCTATGGTTAACTAAAAATATAAATAAACTTTTTACTTCATTTTGGATGGGGGGAAGACTCTTAACTATGAAAAGATCTTGAATTATTTTATTTTGGAAATAGATACAATTAAAAATAAATAAAATTAAAAATTAAACCTTTGTTTTCATAGATGGTTTTAATGTTTATATTTATCTTAATTTATTAAAAAAATATGTTGCAATGTTAAAATAATAAATTACAAAATAGAAACTGTATATATCAGTGATTCATGTTGATTTTATGTATTTATCAATAAATAAGCTAATTAAATAATCTTTCGTTTCTAAAATTTTATTAGAAATAGTTGATTTATATAATATCAACAAACTTACCACTAATTCTTTTTTATTGAAACACAATTGATATTTTTTTTATATTTAACAATATTAATCCAATTAACTAGTGCAATAAAAAGAACTAGTAGTAAATATTTTGTTCGATTGTTAATTTCTTCCTTTACAAAATGAGGGTATGTACCATAAATTGTGTTTCTAAAGGGGATTTTAAATTAATGATAAATAAATCATTTTAAATTTAAACATTTATAATCATACTATCAGACATTTATGACGCGGCGAATATTCAAAGCATAAATCTTTAGCTTGAATTTTATAAATGTGTTCCAATCTATCTAAAACTTAGATTGAAAAATATTTTAACTAAAATTTAACTTTAATAATTTTTAGAATATATGGAATGAAATAAATAAAAAATAATTGATTAAAACTAATATTCAAAATGATAATAAGTTTATTAAAATAATTAAATGGAGGCGATTATTGAAACTTAAATGAAAATAAAAGTTTGGCTTGTTTAGTTTTTAGGAATGTTATGTTCTAAATAAAGAATCAGTTTAAGCAAATGTTTTTAGTAAAGTAACACAAACAATTAAATAAAATAAATTGCGCCGCCAAAGAACTATTGTTTTTATTGCTAGGATAATATATTTACCTTCTTCTTCAATCAATGCAGGATCAATAATTAGAATTGAAAGCGTGACAGCACAAATCGTAATAACAAAAACACAAACAAGCACGAACATGAGAATTTGTCGCTGATGTAAAGTATACTCATTGATCTCAGCCATGATGATTGAAGACGTGCGTTCTAAGTAATCAAAACAATGTAATGAATCAAAATTGAGAAAGATATCGCAGAAAACGGAGTCATTTCGCTATAAGAAAACAAAAGCAGGTGCTATCAGAGCAAACATATTTTCAAATGACACGCCTCCAAATGAGGGAATTTAAGCAGACGATCTTTTGGTTGGAGCGGGTAAGCATGTGCATTTATTGCTCCACAGAAACACAAGTGCGTTTAATACAACCAAAAGTAAAGGATCATTTTCCACCAGACGCCCGCGTTAATGTTTCAAAACAATATGTAAAACGTACTGCTCGCGCATGCGTGAAGCGCATTTACATTCGATCGCTTAAGCAAAGCGATAACAGTGGGGATTTTTTGCATTAGTTTGCTATTATTTTGCATTCGCATGTGATTTTTTCTTATTCGCTTGTGAAAAATTCGCATATAAGTGAGTGCCCGATAAGTGAAATATTTTTACTCACGAAAAACTAGCTAGTTATGTTTTCAATCACTTGCGATATTTTCGCCCTACGAAGGCAGTAAGAATGGTCCTCTTATAGTTCAAATTGTAGCGTTGGTTTTTATCTCCAGTTTTGGTTTAGCGTTGGTTTATCCAGTTTTGTAGCGTGGAGGTAGCGGGCTGGATTCACGAAGCAATTTAGGATGTATCTTTGTGCTGTCCTTTTTACTATCTGTCTTTCTTCTTGGCAAACGTGCTTCTTAGTCGTACTGTATTTGAGCTCACAATTCTGTTTTATGTGTATCAATAAATAAATAAAATTATCTCTTTTGTTGTTGTGCATTTACGTCACATTAGAGCTGCACAATGGGCTATTAGTGATGGTCTGGGAAACATCCCTGAGGATTATCCGAAGGCATGACCTCACAATTTTGATCCTCTGCAGAGAGGATGGCTCCTTCACTTTGGTAGCCCGACGACCTGAGCGCGAAGCCGAGCACTTTGCTAGAGAACAGCTTAACGAGGACCGATACACACCCTCGATCCCTACTCAGGTTGATCAAAGTGGTCACCCATCCGCTTACTGACCGCAGACAGGGATGCGGTCAGTAAGCGGATGGGTGACCACTTTGGTGTTCCGTTGGAAACCATGTCTTTACGATCTACTCATTGTGGGACTTATCTCTTTTGAGTTCGATGTAAATGTTCTGATGTATATCTGGCACCATCTGAAAGCTTTCTGGTATTTCTTTATTTTTTTATTTGTCAATTCATTTTGTTACTTTTGACATCAGGTCAAGCGCCAGCACGAGCTAATAAAATAATGACCTTGAGTCCTTCTGATTGACAAATGCTTTTTAACTGTACAATCCTACATGCATGCATACCAGTAAATATATAAATAAAATTATCGTATTTGAGTTCGATCTAAATGATTTGATTTATATGTGGAAACATCCTGTAGAGCGACCTGTAGCTCCAAACCTGTCGTGCGACCCGCATGTTATTTTTTCTACGAAAATCAACAGTTATTGTTCCCAAGATGACTATCGAATGTTAGATATTTTCATTCCAATATACTCCGTGTGCATTTTTCTGCATACCTTTATTATTTTATTATTTCAAATTTCTAAATGCCATAATATTTGCGCATCAAAATGTGACGTCAAGTTCAATGATCAATACAGATATAATACAAATACGTTCCCCTCACCCCCCAAAAACACCCGGCCCTCACGATTTTTTAATGCAGAGGGACGAGAGATTATTTAAAGGAACTTTTAAACAAAACAAAAAAAAATCTTCTCTTCTAAAGATTTGATTGATATAGTACAGAAAAAACTTACCAAGAATTCAAAATGCGAAATTAAAACTAAATAATAAATTGATAATAACAGAAAAAATAAATATAATAATAATAAAAATAATAAACCTCATCTATTTTAACTAGAAAAATTAACTAGAAATTAAAAACCGATTCTTTCGCTGTCCCGGTAGAACTATTCGGATCACATTTCATATATCGCGATTGAACAATATCAAACAAGTGGATAAAACAGATACTATATTAATTTTAAATAAATATTGAAGAGAAATAAACTTAAACCAGCTGTTTAAAAGTTTTGTAATGCGATGAAAAACTATTTCCTCATTATACTATTTCACGTATATACTATATGCCTTTTAATGATCATAGTGAATAAATAATTCCTGACTTATGAAAATCGACGTATGTGCGTAAATATTAAAAATATAAATTAAAACTGCGTGACACCAAAACAACTTAAATTGAAGTTTAACAATTATATGCATCACACGCAACTGAAAGTTCTAGAATAATTTTTTTTTTAAATGAATGCAAATAAAACCTTACGACGAAATGTCACAGTTTTAATGTCAAAATGCATTGTTTTATCCAATTCAGTCGATGATTTGATGGTCTTTCGGTCTTCCTACAATATAATGTAGAAACCAATTAAATATAATCTAATGTAGAGTAATGTAGAAACTATTTAATATGTAGAAACTATTTAATATTTAGTACCCTAATGTGGAAACTATTTGATATAATACTCTTCACTCTCAAATTGTGAATTGCTGTATAAAATTACATCATAAAACATAGTGCTGATCTTATATTAATGACACTTTTTTAACAGTAATCGCTAAAAAATTTTCTCGACGAGTTTAAATTCTTGACCTTTAAAATATGGGGGTTAGCAACAANGGGGGGGGGGGAGAGAGAGAGGCTGCATTCTGAAAAAAAAAGTCAATTTAATTTTTTACGTATTTCGTCATGTCTCCGGAACTAATGAAATGATTCAAGAATTTTTCACACACAATTATGAAGCTTATAATTCGATATAAAATATCTGCTCTCCTGTCAAAACTATCGGAATTATATTTTCGTACTAGTACTACCTAGTACTGGTGTTACGAAGGTCACGAATTCAAATCCGTGGAAATGTCGAGGTTCAAGAATTTTTGTGTCTAATTACATAACTTAAAATATCGACTGCTCCAATCAATGCTCTTATTTAAGATTAAATCCTCGAATAATTCAGATTTACTCCTAGTAACGTAAAAATCCGATCCTTAGAATAAAATGGTAATTTGGCATGCACTATTTTTTAAATTTTATTTTTTATTTTTTACTTACAGTACGTTTAAAATGCGTTTAATAATAATAAGAAGAAAATAAAAAACGATACAGAAGAATGTAGAAACGAATCACTATTTTTAGATGACTGGAACCATCTTTAAGCTTTAACTGGAAATCAAACTGGTTTAGATACTTTTAATTCTACCCTTTTCAGCATTGATTCGTTAGATTTTGACAAGTCTGTTATTCCTCTTTAAATAATAATTTTTGACCCAAAAAGGCACGTTTTTACAGAGATTTTCAATTTATTTACAGATGGTGATTGTGGTATACCTGCCGACCGGCCTGTGTAGGGGTTAGGGAACTGCCCTTGCAACAGAAAGGTTCTGGGTTCGAAATCCGGGCAAGTCATGGATGTTCTTTCCTTCTCTGTACTATCTGTCCTTACTGTGGGAGCAACGTTGGCCCACCTAATATGGTGCCCCTGAAAGAGTGGCCAACAAATGTGCCCTTCAGGTGCCTGTATGACCTAGGTCATTATCCAGGTGGGCATTGGAAAAAAAAAATTGTGGTATATCTTGCATATGCATGCTTCTTGTACAAAATGCCTGAGAAAATAAGTAAGTAAAGTAAAGACCTGCGACAAACACTGCAAACTGGAGACAGAGCTTTCTCCTATGTACAGTGAGTAAAAAGGGGAGGGAATACCCTAAATAACTTTTGATCGAATGATCCTATTTTCACTTGCTAGGGTTCTATTTTACTAGTTTAAAAGCCTCACCTAACATATGTTAATTCATTAGAACAGACGATGTTTTAAAAGTTGCTAAAAAGTTGTCTTAAATTTTGCGAAATCAGACACAAAACATATTTTTTCTGAACAAACATACCTTTTTTTTCGACAGATTTTGTTTCTTGACCTTCAAAATATGCGGGTAGCTGCATTTTGGAAAAGCAATTTGTCCCCAGTAGTTATGAGAGGAGAACTGACCAAAGTTTGAATCCCTTAATGTTAATTTTACTTTTTGAGTATTTCTCCATATCTCCAGAAATTTTTAACCAAATCAAAAAAATTTTGCACGTGATTATGAAATTCGTTTATCCAAAAATAACTTCCTCCAAAAAAAGCTTTAAATGATTATTTATTATTTGTTTGATATTTCAGTTAAAAGCAATCGAATTAGCTTTGAATTGCAAGGAACACAAATTTTTACATCATTTTAAAGAATGTAATAAATAGCAAAGCACAAAATTCGAGCAAAATTAGTCGAATCAGTTCCTAAAAAATTAAATTTTAAATGATAACTTCTTAAAAATTTGATAAATTCGAAATTATTCGATTTCCTGTAAATTCTGTCCTCTGCACTAGTAAATAAAGTCCTCGGACCATTAAGACTGAGACATAATACGTGAAAATCCGATTACTAAATAAAAAGTTATTCGTGTATTAATTTCTTTTTGCGCTCTGTCTAGTATACAGTATAACGTAAAAACATTAGTTCAAATTTAAGAATGTCAAGTTGTGGTTTTTTCATTTCCTTTTTAAATACAGCTTAGAAGCAAAGAAAATCGGAATCGCTTATCTTTAATGAGCTTTATCTTTTTAGATATTTGAATTAGATAAGCAATTGACTGCCCACAAAAGATAACTAGATTCAAAGGTTCTTTTCTCGTTCATTTAAGTAAAATAAGTAATTATTTTATTAGTGTTAGTTAAATTGAGCTAGGCAACAAAATGGAAGATTGTAATGTTGCTGTTGTTACGGGTGGAGCCCAGGGGCTTGGAGCATCCATTACAAAAGCCCTATTAAATAAAGCTTATAGGGTAAGGTTTTCTTTATTCAATTTTATACAATAAGAAATGAATGACCAATTGGTTTTACATTTGAACAGATATCGCAAAGGCTATATAAAATTTAATCTCTTTACACTAACGGTATTTTTGTATTTCGGCTTAAATTATTTTTTAAATTTTAGCATGCAAATTTAAAAAAGTCCTATTGTAATTTAGAGAAGAATATTAATCTTAATATATTTTTTTCCGTCACACGTGAAAAAGTTGGTAATGTTTTAATTCAAGTGTTTCTTGTTGACGCGGTAGGCAAAAGTTGTTTAGTTTCAGAAATTGGGTCGGAGTTAAGGATTTGCACTTTGAAGCTTCAATTTCATATTTAGCGATACATACTTTTTTTGGTTTCAAAATAAATTTTAAAATGTAATTTATACACCCAATACAACAAAATATTCTGTATTAAAATATTCCCTTTTTTTAGTTGTTGGTATATTTTTTCTTAAAAAAATTTTCTTCATATTTTTCTTACTATAAATAAAACACAAGTGTACATAATATGGATTATTAATGGCGTAGTATAATAAATAATCAGAGTTTATTACCAATAGTAATTGAATTAATCAGGATAAGAACGAGGCAGCGATGTGTGTGTGTGCTTTTTTCTAATGCCTAACTGGTTTGACATTTCGTCAAATTAGGCGTATTAGGGCAGATTTGTTGCCCACTCCTTCAGGGGCAGCATATTAGGTAAGGGAATGTTGCTCTAACAGTAAGGACAGATTGTACAGACATTGAAGAAACATCCATGTCTTGACCGGGAATCGAACCCTGAAACTTTCTGATGCAAGGCCAGTTCCCTGATCCCTACACAATCCGGTCGGCCAGCGATGTGTGCGTCGGCGCTCATTTTGCACTTGTCCTATATTCTTTTCACTGATATTTTGTTTCAAGATTAAAGGCTATTTTGCCCGGTATTCCCTACTCTAATGTTTTTTTTTTTTTTTATAAATGCCACTACCCGGTTTATATTCGTCCGTTATTTCCACCACTAATGTGTTTTTTTCCCCAAAAATTAAATGATATTGTCCAGTATTCTGCACACAAAAGTTTTTAATGTTAAGTGCCATTGCCCCGTGTTTTCCTCACTCATGTCTCCTCACTCGAAGAATGTTTCTTTTTAAAAACAAAAATAATATTATTTTACCATTACCTCTTTTTCTTTATGTATCGTTTTCTTAATTAGGCACGCATTATTTATTAAAGCTCAAAAAAGTTTCAAGAGTTCCGAACATTTTATTTTGAATTTTTCAGCTTAGCGAGCTTTTTTTTTTACTGTTTAATAAATTTCGTTACTAAGTGAGGCTATCAGTTTAATTAATCAAATTTAAGAATAGTTTAATTCATTAAATTCAAGTTAGAGCTGAAAATAAGACAAAAATAAAATGTAACATAAATATTTTCAAAGTAGATTCAAATTTATTTGAAAAAAATTATTATTTTAAAAATATTATTAAAGATTCATAATTTAATAAAACACTGTCCTCCATAAGAAAGAAATCTAAGAAATAAAATGCACGTGTAATTTTATTTATTATCACACAATAGCTATAAAAATGCAGATCGTATCAAATTGATAGCTGAAAAGCGAATACCTGTCAGTAACAAACACGTGCAATTTTTAATAACTGCTGGCCATAAAGTCTTTTATTGAAATAACATTTCTTGCAACTAGGAAAAGCTTAATTGTTCTCGAAAACTTGTCACCAGTTTAACATCTGCTCGTTGGTTAAATATGGATCCGCCTGTTAGGCGCATGTCGATTACCATCTGCATTTCTAGATACACAATTCGTTAAAAATATATTTCAGTCTTAGCTATTTGAATTAAAAAAATGTAATAAAGAAAGGTTTATTATTTTAATAGTGTCACATTTTGAAATTAATAATTTAAAGGATTTAATTATTCTATTTCTTAGAAAACTTAGTTTAACAAAAAATTCCTTAATTTAAATAGCATATAATTTTTATTTTAGGTTAAAAAAAATTGTGTGTAGATGCGGGACTTTTGGAATCCAGAATTCCTTGGATATCAAATTTCATTACTAATAAGGAAAATTTAATGAGATTTTAATGAATACGCTTAATTACACGTAATTATAAATAATCTAGAATAGCATTTTTTTAAAAATAATTTTAATTAACAAAATTTCAGTTTCTTCTGCATTTTGTTTATTTTAACGAAATGAGTTCATGATTTAAAAATTTAAATACAAATTTTTTAAATAAGGACATTTTATGTAAGTTTATTTATAAATTTAATGAAATAAATGTGTTATAACCTTTAATTTGTTTTTATGTTTGCCTTTATATTTCTCTCTATTTCCTCTGGTATAATGAGACAGTTTTTGGAGTCCTCAATTTCACCTTCCTTAGTAGTGATTTGTAAGATCAAGAAAGCGTTTCTTTTTTCATTTTCGCTTAAATATTAATTTGTGACCTCTAATATGTCTCATTTTTTGAATTCAATTTTGTCAAGGAACCTAAAAACATAAATTAAGGTCAATCATTATGTAATGTATAGGAACACAATCATATGAAAATCCTGAGATGTTGGCTGTCAAAACGTGTTTTGTAAATTTTTTATCTTAGTATTAATAACGCTGGAAAACTTTTTTTTGTTTTCTTTTGCTTGGTCTTTCTTAACTTGTCTTAGACGCTTTCGTATCATTGATCTCAAATTTTTACTCGGTTCTCTCTAAATTACAGATTTTTTAAATGACATTTTTAGTAAATTTTTTTCCGGAAATGTACAAGCCTGAAAATATAATATCTATGACAGAGGGTCACATAAATGGTGTGACTAACTTCTAGGGGGAATTAGTGCACATCATCAGGATTAAAATTGCATTGGAATACAAGCGATTAAATTTCAAAGTGACCGTATTACGCTATGGGTCGAAAATGCCATATCACTGCTTGTAGAGAATAGTATGTAGAGGAGATGGCATTGATGCGATTCTAGAAAATAGCAGAAAATTTTGCCTTTTCATTTTATTTAATAAATTTATTATTGATTTATTACAGCCTCAAGTTATATGCCTTAAAGTTATATACCTAGTTATATGCCTTAACATCCCTAGAAGTGTGTCGCAACATTTATGTGACCTTTTGCTTTATATAATTTTTTAAATTTGTCTATTTCGACAAAAAATAGACTAAAAATGTCAATTAAAAAATTCTCTAGATGTAGGAGCAAAACTAATTTAAGATTTGAAATCCCCACACTCAAATTAGACAAGATAAAGTGTTTGTGTAAATATAACTAAATACTTGCTCCCCAAAGTGATTTATATCAAAATTCAAAATGATTTTTAGAGATTCTAAGATCCACGTCATGAGTTAAATTTTTGTTTTTCTTTTTGGAGGAAGAATTGAGTTAGTGAAATGACAAAACACTTCATGAGTATGAATGTAACTTATTACTTATTCTTATCATACATATTTTATGTTAAATAATACGCTAAGTATATAAGTACAAGGTGCAGCAGCAAATGGGGGTCATTTTAAAAGTATTATCAAGAGTGAATGATTAGTTTTATTTACTTTAAGTGCTCTAGCAAACATAAAATCATTTATTTCATTTAATGGGAAAAATGAACTAAAAGAAAATCTTAATTTTTTAAAAATAGAGGGTTTTAGACTCTAGTTTTGGTTTTATTTACATTCTTTCAGCAGACACGTGGAATGTCTTCTGTCTGCTAATATAGCTCATTACCTAATGTAGAATCTACACATAAATGCATTGAATCAATGGCTTCTCTTGTTGTTGGCATGTTCTTGACTGTTCAGTGAAATTTACTTTATATTTTAATACTTTACTTAATAATGGTCGGCAAATTTTTAAATTGTACGGTATATACATTTTTGCACCATTTTAAACTATGTAATTTAAATAAGAAAATAAAAAAAAACTGTTGCCCTTCACACTTTATATTAAATATCCAATTCCATCAACAGCAAAAAAAGCATGTTTATTTAGAGAATATGTTTTTATCTCTGATTTCGTAACTTGAAATATCGTCTGTACTCATTAATCAGTATATTTGAGGTCACCCCTTTGAACTATTGAGTTCGGCCCTTACTTCGTACTGTTTCCCGCTATCATTCCTCTTAATTACTGTCAAACCCAGTCACTTTAAAGTTTCGTTCCTAAATAGCATGAACTGGTGGAACAGAATTTTCAGAATAATTCTTAAATTCTCTACAAGATTCAAGCAAAACTGTTGTCGTTCATATCATGCCACATAGACGGAACTACAGCCTCATCTGGTATTTAACATTAAAGAATAAATCTTTTGTAAGTAACAATGTTCTAATTTGACTTGTTCTTAATTCGTAAAGGTAGTTGTTGCTGACATTAACGAAGAAAAAGGAAAAGAATTCGTTCGCCAATTAACAAGTACTTTTGGGACATCAAAGATTTTATTTCACCTCTGCGATGTCACAAAGCAAGATGATTATAAAGGTAAAGTTAGAAAATGTACCTCTCCTTTTGAATTAATGTTTGGATATGATCTTCATTCAGAAAATCTATCGTATTTCTACATTTGAAAATGTGTTTAGTAAACAAAATATCGCTTTTCATGCTTAAGAATCTTTAAACTACCGCGCAAAACAATTTTAATTCTTCACTGCGCATGCTCACAAACATAATGGAGGTATGCGCAGAACCTACATTCCTAAACATTACCACGCAGTTACTACTATCACGGTTCATGAACCTACATCGCATAGTTTGCACAACAATGCTTTTGCAATGCTATGCAAAAATGTAAAATGTCTTCTTAAATAAAAGAAGGAATTTCATACGTTATTGATTTATATTTACTACAAACACAGGCTGTTCAAAGATAATAAAGGAGAAATAAATTAAAAATCACCTTAAAATAAATATTTATCTGTCACATTAATTAAAAGTCGAACGCAGTTGTATACTTATTATTAAAGTTATAAAAATCAATGCAATTAAAAAAAGTATCGTTTTATGGTTAGTAAATGTTTTGGCTGCAATTACTCTTGGTTACATTTAAAAAAAACGAATTGTAAAAAAAAAAAAAATAGATTTCTGAGAATAAGACATTGTAACAATTAATAAATTATGAGGTTACTGGAGTACCCGCAAAACTAAAGTATGTATTAGTTCAAAATAATTTTTATGGAACTCATTGAATTTTTAAGGAATTGTCAAGTAATAGAATTATGGTTTAGTTTCATTGATAATTTTAAGATATACCTTAAGATACACATTAACTTAATTTCCTTGATATTTTTAAGGTATACCTTAAGATACACATTAACTTAAGGTATATCTTTCCGTAAAATACTGTTGCCTTTTTGAGGTAATGAGAAACGGCTACAGGACAAAATCTAAGAGCAAAATTTTAAGTATACGAAATTACAATGTAAGACTTAAAAAAGAACGATAACCGTCGTTCAGCAATTAACTTCGCATCTGGTTTTCTAATTTGTTAAGAGCAAAAGTGTTGAAAGTAAAACAAATTGCTTATGGACTTTTATGACAGTTATAAAATTTCTAATCATCATTCATACATGAATCATTGTTTCCAATCAGCATCATCAGAGTAATACATAGTTTCCATTTGTTGCAAACTAAGTATGGCTTATAATTGATCCATTTTTCAAATAAATTTTATTTGTAGTCGTGGTATCACTTTTATTATTAATTACAAACAAATAAAATAAAAATACGTTTTTTTATGGATTCCAAAACCTACGTAAGTCTGGGAGAATAAATATGTACTTAACTGCAAACATATTAAATGATGCCTCACTTAAGTACATATTTATTCTAAACAACATAAAAAAATTCTTGGGATTCAAAATAAGTAGTAATTCATATAAAAGCAAATATTCAAACACTTTATCAGCAACTGATTAGAACAATAGAATCGCTACGTGCTGTACATAACTGCAAACATATTAAATGATGCCTCACTTATGTACAGCACGTAGCGATTCTATTGTTCTAATCAGTTGCTGATAAAGTGTTTGAATATTTGCTTTTATATGAATTACTACTTATTTTGAATCCCAAGAATTTTTTTTTAAGCAAGGCTTAAAAATTACTTAATGTTAAATTACTAGAAAACGCTATTGTGAGTTTAAAAATGGCATTTCATATGATTTCGAAATTTTACAGTGATTTAAAATGCAAGTTTTAAAATTAGTAATTTGCCAATTTTTCCTGGTATATCATATTTTTAATTGCTCTTTCATCTTCGCATTGATTTCTGCATCTGATATTTATGTTTATTTAATTATCACTACTTTCTTTTAAAGATTTTGGCTATTTTAACTAAGGAATAATTCGGTTGATCGTTATCTTTTTTTTAAATCTATTATTATTATCTAACAATTTTGTATTTTTTGTCAGTTTATTCGTTAATGAAAAAGGCTGTAAGTGCTAATATTGTCATTATGTAGAAAATAATAAAATGTTGAAGCGTCAGTTGAACTTCTATTTTTTTCCTACAAGGAAGAGGACACATATTAGCGACAGTAGGAGTTTTTGTTTAAAGTCGTGACAGTAGTTTTGTAAGCTATCACTCTATTTCATTATCCACTCTTTTTTTTTCTTTCTTCCTTTTTTGGATTTAATGTCTAAAATAAAATTTCTGAATGAAGCTTTGTAAAAACTTTATACCATGTTAAAATATATATTTGTTATTCTATGTTCAAAACTGTTGAAAATTTTCTCAATATCCTTGGAGAAAAAATAAGTTATATACTTTCTATTTATAAAAAAAGTATTTATAAATTTTTCTATTTCGAACACTATTCAGCAGTTTTTTCGTAATTTGAATTTTTCAATAGTCATTCATAAATCGCCAAAATTAGCTCAAGTTTAATAATGTAAAAAGTTTTACGTCAAAAAGAGCAAGCAAAAGCAGTTTTATAAATTAATTCCGAACTTCATGCTAAGAAAACAGTCGTGGTGCTTAAGAGTCTTTTCAATGCAAGTTAGAAATACATAAATAAATAAATAAAAAAATAAATAAAAAAAGAGGTTTAGAAAGAGACATTCTGCTAGGTTCCAAAACTCCACCTTCTCTTTTTTAATTATTTTACATAGATTTCCTTCGTATTATTGTCATTATTTGATTTGCAAAGAAATATCGTATATTTTTGAAGATAGGTGTGGGAGAAATGTTCATCCACTACTGGCTACAGTTGAACCAAAGACTTTTGTGTTTGTAACCGGATGCGAATGCTGATCTGGTTCGAACCTAAAGGCCAGTTTACATGGCCCAAGTTCTTGAACCAGAGAACTTGAAAGAATTTTTCTCTCCAAGAAATTGGGTGATTCGTCGACACTATCCAAGCTCTTGAATGTTACTGATAGATCGGATGAAAAACTTGCGCTTGCCCATTGTTCATATTCAACACTATAAAATCATACTTACATGAATTCAAAATTACTAAATAAATTCAAATAAAATCATAATAACAGAAATAGACTCGGACAGATTAATTTATTTGGATTAAAATATCTGATAACGGACGACAAAAGGACATAACCTGATTGACGTCACAAAACTTTAGAAGCTGATTGATTAAGGGAGTAAAAACTTGGATGGGAAGTAGAACATGCTCTACTATCATCCAAGATCTTGGGACAATAAATTGGATGATCGTTTATTATACGATCCAAGCACCAGGCAAAACAAATTTCCACCAATTTCAATCAATCTTCATCCAAGAACTTGGATCCAAAAACTTAGAGCAGGCTTTTAAGGCCTGTTTATATGCTTACGCTTGTTATTTTATTTGAATTTATTTGGTAATTTTGAATTCATGTAAGTATGATTTTATAATGTTGACTAGGAACAATTGGCATGTTTTTCATCCGACCAATCGTCAGACTTTTTTTTGAATACAACTAATGAACATTAGACATATAAAATAAAATTTATAAATAGCAGTAAAACATAGACGTAAAAACATAGTCGTATAAATAGTACCCACTTTGAAAAATTTAAGATTTGTAGACTAACTATTCTGAAAGCTTCTTAAAATCTTATAGATTTAGCACCAATTTTTCATTTTACAAAACGATCTTTTATATTTACTTACTCATACATATTTTCTTTGACTTGATAAAATTTTCTGATAATTAAAAAATAATCATTACATAGTTACATTTGTCTTTCCCATATTTTTGCGTATCGAATTAGTTTCGTTGTTGATGATTTTTTGACCTAGGTTTATATTTTGAGGATTGAAAGTATGTAAACACTTTAAAAAAATTAACAAATTAACTTAATTAGTTTCAAGATAAATAAATAGTAGTTTAAATTTTCGTACGATACATGGTTTAAACAAATAAGATATACAGGTCGGATTTATTTTTATGGTGATTACTCACAACATGAATTATTTAAAATATCAAGCTTTCTTTTCTTCCTTAGATTTACTTTTTTCTTCTGGACCCACTTCTTTAGATTTACTTTTTTCCTCAGTACGAAATCCCGCATCTTTAGATTTATTTTTTTCTTCAGGACCAAATCCCTCTTCTTCAGAATTGTCATTAACTCGTTCAATAATCCGTCCATTTTTTCTTGTCACAAGGTATCCAATATAAACTCCTGGTAAGAAAATTGCCAAACCTATGGCTGCATTTCTGACAGATTTTTCTCCCTTGGTGTATTGCTTTTTGCTATCTGTCGAAGCTTTTGAAGTTGCATTAACTTGAGGAAAAGTCCAATTCGTCTTTGGAGTTATCAAAGGGGTATATATATTTTGACGTACGATTTGGAAGAGGCGTTGAGCCATCTGAAATAATTATCTTGGATCTGGGTATGAAACTAAGAAATGTAAAGGGCAAAAACAACAGTGATTTTATTTTTAAATTTGAATTCTCACACTCGGAAGTAGATTTTATATAAAAATACACGAGCCATTTGCCGAATTCTAACGAATGATTATGTTAACTATAAAAATTTTGTGTTTTTAAGAACTGAAGAAAATAGTTTACAAAGTAATTTCTTTGTAAATGAACAGTGGGCATAAAGAGAACCACCCTGGATAACTTTTGATCTAATGATCGGATCTTCACGTTCTGGGACTCAAATTTTAATGGCTCGAAGGGGTGACATCAAATAAGCCAATTAATAAGTGCAGACGATAATTTAGGTTATGAAAACGTACACACCTAAACGTACTTTCTCTGAATAAACATACCGTTATTTCGACTGATTCGGATTTCTGACTCCCGAAATATAGGGGGTAGCCGCAATCTGGGAAATATGGATTTATGTAAAGTTATTTTTCTCATGGTTATTTTTTGGATAAAAAAATTTCATAACTGTTTAACAAATATTTTTCAATTCGTTTAACAAGTTATCGAGATGTGGCGAAATACGCAAAAACAAAAATTAACATTAAGGGATCCAAACTTTGGATCGTTCTCCTGACTTAACTCTCCTGACCTAACTCTCCTGCCCATATTTCCCAAATTGCGGCTAACCCCTATATTTTAGGGGTCAGAAGTCTGCATCTATGATAAAAAAGGTATATTTATTTAGAGAAAATACTCTTTGTGTCTTATTTCGCAACTTAAGTATCGTCTGTGCTAATTAATTAGTACATTTGAGGCTACCTCTTCGAACCATTAAGATTGCGTCCCAGAACGTAAAAGTCCGATCATTAGATCAAAAGTTATCCCGGTGGTGGCTTCTTTCCTTCTTTTTTCTTCTTTTTTTGCACTGTACATGTTTCAGCAAAAGCAGTATTGAGTGCTTCAGCTCAAAATGCGTCTGCAACGCCCATATATACATGGAGATAATCTAGAGCATTTGTTTCTCAATCTCTGGTCCACATACACTATTGCTTTAAATTTTTATTTATTCAATATCAAATACAATAAAAAAAGTTGCTTCCCCAACATTTCGGCAAAAAAATTAGAAAAAACTTATAATCAAACTTTTTTCCTTCATTAGTTTTGATAATATACGTATGTCAGATTTATCTATAGATCCTTTTTATATAGTTCGTATTTACTTGTATTCCTTTTGCTACCTACACATCACTACATAATTTGGTTTCTCTAATTTGTTATTTGAATTGCAAAATTAATATTTGTATTCACAAAAATTTTGAAATTTATTTATATTTAAATTGGTTTGGACTCGAAATAGTTTTAATCTTAGAGAGTATGTGAAAGATCAGAAACTAACTAGTAAAAAAAAACTGTTCAAGTAAAACACTTTCGTATTGGTAAAAATTATAGCGATAGTCCAAATTGCTAACGTTACTCATTTGCTATAAAGCATTGAAATATTTTACCGGTCTTTCGAGTAAAATCGAGTTGAGAAACACTGATATGCGAGAAAGAGAAGCATTTTTTTTAAAAAAGTGGGTGGAAATTTTTACGTGCTTTACTAAATGCATTAAAAGGAGGCTGCAGCAAGGGAAAAAATTCTTATGACAAACTCTGTTTCTCCTCTATTGGTATTTTAAAATTTAAAGTTTAGAGAAAACTGATTTCAGGTAAACCTTGAGTAAATAATAAAGTTCCAAATGTGGAAAAATGTTTTCAAAATAATAAAATGCAAACAAATTATGGCAGGATTACGAAAGGAGTCCTGCCATAATTTGTTTGTGGAGAAAGTAATCCTGCATAGTTTGTTTGCATTTTGGTATTTTGAGAGCATTTTTTTTTGCATTTGAAACTTCATGGTTTACTCTACGTTTACCTCAGTTCATTTTCCCTTGCTAAAATTAAAATTACTAAGGTAAGTAAAAGAGAATTAGCAGTAAAAAGTTTCTCACAAGGTATAGCATCCTTTTCAGTTCACAGTGTCAGTGTATCTTTGCCATCTTTGTCAGTGTATCTTTGCTTTAGTGTATCTTTCAGTGTATCTTTACTTCAGTAAACTTAACTGCTAGTTAGACTATTAGTTTATTGTTTCCTTTGATCATTTTAAACTGCTTTAAAAAATTCTTTCTAATTGTTGAGTTATTTGCTCTTGTTCAATTCGATATATAAAAATTTTATGAAATGATTAAGGGAGCTTTTTCCTTAAGTATATTAATTGTGTATTGAAGACGAAGTACAGTTTTTCCTAGCTCCTAGAGTAAGTTTCAATTTGATTTAAAATTTATCTTGTTTTAAAATTTATTTTAATGCTTAATGCAGCGCATATATGCTCTTTTCTCTATTTATAGTAATTTGTCATACAAAAATATTAAATAAAAAGGAAATAAACAAAAATATTAAAAAAAAGACAGAACCAGTAAATTATAGAGTGCTCAAATCCGTAACATTGACTAAACGCTTCATATCGAAATTAATAAGGATACTTGTGTAAACAGAGGGTAAAGAAACCTTGGAAAAATGCGTTGCTGTGGCGTCACAATGGATCGTTTTAAAGAATTATTCATTTATTAAAGTAGTAATTAGGCAAAAACTTCTACTTTTGTAACCAATTATTGTTTTATAACCGATTATTGTGTTATTTATGTTTTATTGTAACTTATTTATTACGCTAATATTTTCAGCTGTTTTTGATTTTACTCTCAAGGAATTTAAAAGAATTGACGTTTTAGTCAACAATGCTGGAATATTGAATGAACATCATCCTCAAAGAATGCTGAATATTAATGTGGTAAGTACCAGTTGTCACAAAAATGATTGAGGGATTCTAAACCACTATTAAAAAAAAAGAACGGAACGTCATGAAAACTTATAGTTTGCTGCTTTATGCTTAGGAAACTAGATATCTTATCCCACTAAATTCCCTATTTAAAATTCCAGCCACTCAGCAGTACTGCAGGCATGCGAGAGTCGTAGAGAAATTGAATCCGTGACATCCCTAGTTGGTATTTCTCCACGCAATCAGTAAGTGAGCACTTGTGAAGGATTTTGATGAAGGTTTAGCACGTTAGAATAGAATTTTGGATTATCACTGTGTGGAACACAGCTGTGCATAGACGAGAAGAAGTTTCCAAAGGAAACTTGGCATGAGAAGAGGACTGACAGAACAAAGCAATAAAAACATTCTTCGATAATCCTGCGCGAATATTTCAATGATTGATTAACTGCCTTGGATGAGGACGAAAATACCAGTAGTGGCATGATAGGGTCTCATGTTTTGCTGGACATCACGCCCTGTGTCTTTTTTCTGTTAGGTACCTGAAAGAACAGGCATTCAGCCACGCGCCACAAAAAGTTGCAAAACTGAAAAAGCTCATCTGTACTGCATATGTATAATTCCAACTGACATGTCGCTGGTTCAAAGTTAAAACGACACTTCTTCACTCCTCATATTACTTGAATGAGAAGTGAGTGCAGAAGTGTCGTTTTAGCTTTGAACCAGCGATGTGTGCTCTGGTATCTGCTAATTTTTGTCTCAGCCTGCGTTACGTTGTGGCTGCGAAAGGGTGATTACTTTAAGGAAAATTGTTGTTTGATGTTTTGCAATGGTCTCTGCACCTTTTTTAAATCAATTGTAGTTATGATTATTCTCAACCTATTCACTAGAAGTTTAACTCAATTAGAAATTTGGTGGGATGAAATTTCCTAGTTCCCAAGCATAATGTCACAAGCTATATAATTTTATCGCCTTCCGACCTTTTTTTTTTAATTTTCAAAATTTATCAGTCATTTTTGGTAGTTTGTTTTTGTGTTTTATTACAGCTGTTTCATACAGGATGACAATTAATGAGCTACAGAAAGAAATTTTAAGAGCTGTTAAACCGTTGACTAGTTTAAGTTAAAATTAAGTAGTTAACTATAATGCTGGGAGTTTTTCAAGCATAAGCATACTTGTTGTTGAGGTTCATTTTTCAATGAAAATAATTTTCAGCTTACATCGGTCACCTTATTTTTTCTGATATTAAAACTTTGAGACCTAATATATTGCCCAAATGAGTAATTATATTAAATATGAAATTTACCTCAATAATAGTAAAATCACAGTTGATCTCAAAACTGCCATTTAAGAAATAATTTAAAAAAATCATCGATGTCTCTACACTTTAGAGATTTTCCCTTTATTAGAGATTAGCAATTGCCATTATAAGACTTTAGAGATTAGCAAAATTTTGCCATTTGCCTGTGCTAAACCATTGCCCTATAATCTAATGCTTATTATTATCTAATGCTTTCTTTCATTTCAGCTGGGAGTTTTGAATGGTATTCAAACTGCATTTCATTATATGGGAAAAAGTAATGGAGGAAAAGGTGGTTTCGTTGTAAATACAGCCTCGATTGCAGGTGAGCAAATGGATTCTGACGATTTCTACCTCTTCCTCTCAGCTTTAGATCTATCTGAGAAATTTAAAATACTTTTAACTCTTATTTTATAACTCTTATTATAAGCTCTTATTTTATAAACTACGGAGACAGTGGTTGTGGGTTCGAATCCCACCGTGGGCACGAATGTAACTGTCTTTCTCTCTTTGTCTTCTATGATCTTTCTTCTGTGTGATTGTGTGAATGTAACCCTCCCTATAAATGGGTTTGTGGTTGTATGACGTGGGCGACGCTACTCCCCCGTCGTGGCTTAGCCACAGGTGCCCACTGGGTAACGAGAAGAGAGTAGCGATTCTGGCATTTCTGAGGCCAATGGGAAATATACCCAAGTACCCGACACAAAAAAAACTTTATTTAAGTATATTTAATAAATTAAATTTTATTCAAGCATACATGCTGTGATAAAAAAGATTTTTTATAAAAATTTATCTGAAAGTATGAATAGAGACACAGTGAGAGAATGATATTTTGCTTAAGATACCTTAAAATTATATAATTCCAATTAGCAAATATTAGCTTATACAATTAATTGAATAAAATGGATAGTTTTGACTCATTTTTGGTTTTGAAAATTGGAAAACAAATATGCCTTCCGGATTCCTGGGAGCATTTTTCTAAAAAGCCGGAATAGCCATTCTGAAAAAGACCAACAAGAACTTTTACTACATTTATTTTTGGGATAGAATAAATACGAAAAATTAATTTCAACAAAATACGTTGATAGGACGGTTGTTTAGAGTATCAGCCTATTTTCTATGTTAATAATTTGCTTCCCCCCCCCAAACATTCAACGATAATTAACTATATTTGTCAAAAACAAGAATTCAATCATCTTTTTCATCCTTACCTTTTCATTGTTGCATGACCATTTTAGTGTTTGGAATAGGGTATGGCTTAGGAATATCCAACAACCATGTCTTGATGGATTCAAGATTATCTTGAAAGATGCGTAGGAAATGCTTCATTTCAGTATTCATTTTCTTCAAGTAACACGTCTCCAGTTTTAACTTATGTAAACAGGAAATCAAAATTAATTAATTCATTTATTTCGATTTCAAATTTCGATGTTTTACAATGGATATAACTGTTAGAAAATACTGAAAATTTATTCCAACAGCAAATATGATGATTTTTTTTAGAATTCTACTCAAAGAATGTGAAATGTAATGTAAAAAGATAATTTAAATTATACTTATATAATATGAATGATTTAAATTATCTTATTATAGTTAGTATGATGGAACTTAATCAAAATCCAATTAAAAACTTGCAAAATGTAACCTTCCTATAATAACGTTTTTCTTAAAAAATAATGCGATTTTTCTCAAACTTTGGTGGGGTTGATCGCCATTACTAATATTTTAGTGGTAATTGAAGTATCATCATTGACTTTTTTTTTGGCCGTTACCTATACATCTTAATTTGGATGTAATAAAATGATAATTGTCTGAGAAAAATAAATAAAATCATTTAGGAAAAATTGATTTATTAAATATTGAAAATGACCATAATTCAAAAATAACAAAGAAAAGGAATCCCTTAAAGGACTAAAGATAAAACATTCTCCTACATCGAGTTTTTTTTTACCATGAAGTTTCAATTGAGATTGATATTCAATGGTTGGAAGAGCACCCCCAGTCGCAACAAAGTTGAAATTGAAAGTCAATTAATTTGTTCCCAACGGACAGTTAGGAGCATGGGAAAGAGATCCAAGGTTGGCGAATTATCGAAAGATAACATAGCCAAAATAGTGCCAACCCCATATAATCAATATTAGGTTTGAAAATACTTTGGCGATCGCGAATCGACAACAAGCACTGTGAGAATTAGAATAACCACTTAACCGAAACATATTTGTGGTAAGAAATTAACAATAAAGAGTTATAAATATATTTTTGTTTTCGATTAAGCGNGGGTCTCATGTTCAGCTGGACATCCCACCTTGTGTCTTTTTTCTGTAAGGTACCTGAAAGAACAGGCATTCAGCCACGCGCCACAAACAGTTGCAAAACTGAAAAAGCTCATCTGTACTGCATATGTATAATTCCAACTGACATGTCGTTGGTTCAAATTTAAAACGACACTTCTGCACTCACTTCTCATGTCATTTGAATGAGAAGTGAGTGCAGAAGTGTCGTTTTAACTTTGAACCAGCGATGTGTGCTCGGGTATCTGCTAATTTTTGTCTCAGCCTGCCTTACGTTGTTGCTGCGAAGGGTGATTACTTTAAGGAAAATTGTTGTTTGACGTTTTGCAATGGTCTCTGCACAATTTTTAAATCAATTGTAGTTATGATTATTCGCCACCTATTCACTAGAAGTTTAACTCAATTAGGAATTTGGTGGGATGAAATTCATAGTTCCCAAGCATAATGTCAAAAACTATACAATTTTATCGCATTTCGACCTTTTTTTTAATTTTCAAAATTTATCAATCATTTTTGGAAGTTTGTTTTTATGTTTTATTGTAGCTGTTTCATACAGGGGGACAATTAATGAGCTGCTGCAGAAAGAAAACTTAAGAGCTGTTAAACCGTTGGTTAGTTTAAGTTAAAATTAGGTTAACTATAATGCATGCTGGGAGTTTTTTAAGCATAAGCATACTTGCTGTTGAGGCTCATTTTTCAATGAAAATAATTTTCAGCTTACATCGATCCAATTGTCACCTTATTTCTTCTGATGTTAAAACGCTTGAGACCTAATATATTGGACAAATGAGTAATTATATTAAATATGAAATTTACCTCAATAATAGCAGAATCACAGTTGATCTCAAAATTGCCATTTAAGAGATAATTTTAAAAAATCATCGATGTCTCGACACTTTGGAGATTTTCCCTTTATTAGAGATTAGCAATTGCCATTATAAGACTTTAGAGATTAGCAAAATTTTGCCATTTGCCTGTGCTATACCATTGCCCTATAACCGCTTATATAGCCTTTTTTAAGAACAGTTGAAAGCGTCGTCATCTTGGATAAATCATGGCATTCGCTTATGCCACGATTCAGAAACCAAACAGGCTCACCATTCATTTAAAATTAAATAAAAATGTAAGATAAATTTTATACTTTTAAATTAGATTTTATGAATTCAAATTATTATTTTTTATTAATTTAAATTTATAAAATTTAAATTCTTTTATAAAATGTAAAATTTTATGAAGTTTAAAATCAAGTTCAAAATCAAAGAGATTAAGCTTAATTTGTTTTGTTTTTTATCAAATAGAATTGGAAAGTTAATAAATAGTAATACAGTCAAAACTTTGGATGTATTTTAATTGGAACAACTTAAATTTTGATTTGAAAATCGCCAACAAATAAAAATGATTGCTTAGCAATCGTAGCATGGATAAGCCCCCTCATAATAATTATTATCTTGATACACCATATGGTAATCAGGATAAAGGAAGAGCTAAATTAAAATATGATTCTTTTTATTTCTTGGCAACATTTAGTAAAGTGTAATAAAATTAATTTAAAATTAAATACTTTACAGTTATTGTATATTAGTCAGATTTTAGTGTTAGTTTAATTGTTTTAACATTGAAGGGATTTTTATTATTATCTAATGCTTTCTACCATTTCAGCTAGGAGTTTTGAATGGTATTCAAACTGCATTTCATTATATGGGAAAAAGTAATGGAGGAAAAGGTGGTTTCGTTGTAAATACAGCCTCGATTGCAGGTGAGTAAATGGATTCTGACAATTTCTGCCTCCTCCTCTCAGCTTTAGATCTATCAGAGAAATTTACAATACTTTTAAATTCAAATTATAATTTTTACAAAATGGATTGAATGCATAGTTTAATATTTTTAAAAAAACATCATTAGCTACAGTATTTTAATAAACATAAATGGAATAATTAATGGTGGATAAGTGGTTAACTTTTATGACCAAAAACTAAATAACTAAGGGACAATGGAGAAATATAAAACGAATTATAAGCAAGAGAAAGCATCAATGAAAAACTATAAATATCTTACAAGTCTACTTAAGGTTGTTTATGTATTGTTTTATATAGTGTGCAGAGCACTAACAAAGAAAGTGAACACCCTGAATAACTTTTGATCTAATGATCAGATTATTTTGTACTAGGACTCTATCTTAATGGATCGGGGCCTTAGCCTTAAATTTGCTAATTAATTAGTTGTAACCAATTAATTTTAATTAATTAATTCTCAATTAACTAATTTTTTAATTAATGAATACTTTAAGTTACGAAATTAGTCACAAAAACGTACTTTCTCTGAATAAACGTGCCTATTCTGATTATTAATTCTCAAACTATAGGAGGTAGCAGCAATCTGAAAAATAGGGTCCAATAGTTAAGGCAGGAGAAAGGTTGAACCCTTTAAATTTAATTTTAGTCTTTGTGCATTTCGTCATATCGTAGAAGAAACGAAAAAAATTTTGGATAAAATACGGAATAAAAAATTTAAACTAAATTGGTCAAATAATTTCAAAGTTATCAAATTTAAAAAAAAAGTCGTATTCATTTCTCTAGAACAATTAAAATTTCTTTTCTCTAGAACAATTTGACCGATTTCATTCAAATTTTTTATTTTGCCATTTAAAATTAATCTCCTTAATTAAAACATATTTTTATATTTTACAGTTCAACATTTTTTTTTCACACTTTTATTAAATAAAAATTATAAATAATTATTAAAAATTTCCTTTTTGCTTGATATTATTTTTGAATAAACAAATTTTATAATTAGGTGCAAGGAATTTTCGACTTTATCGAGATATTGCGAAATACGCAAAAAGTAAAGAAAACTATGAGGTGTCCAAGCTTTTCACTGCACTTCTGACCAAATTATTGGGACCCTATTTTCCAGGTTACAGATACCTACAGATTGCTATTTTGAGGGCCATTAAGTAAAATACATAAGTATTTGTGTCTGATTTTGCAGTTTAAAGTATCATCCGCTATAAATAATTAGCTGATTTAAGCTTAGGCCCTTATACAATCAAAATAGTATGTGATATTCCAGTCCTAGTATGTGATATTTCAGTGATTAGATCAAAAGTTACTCAGGAGTTTCACTTCTCTTTGCTCACTGTATGTGGGCCATTCTCTGAAAAGTAGTTATTTATTAAAAATATCAAGTTCTAATAAATTTTCTCTAAAAATTTCAAAATTTTGTCAGCAAGTACTTCATTTCTTGAATTGAATTTACGACTTGTCATTATTTTATTGTACGTGCAAATATAAATGGATTCATCACAGTTAAAGTCATTCTCTTATGTGTAAAAATAAGGATATGGTATATAATGGCTGGGAAGGAAAATTTTTCTTTATTATTCTATTAAAAAGACGCAAGGCTTCATTACGCACGACAAACACAAAATGCAAAAATTTATGGAAACACAATTTTATTTGTATGACAAAAGAAAAAGAAACTTCATTTTTTTAATTAATTTAAAAAAAAAATGAAGGAATGGCGGGCAATAAAAGTACTTACATTGAGCTAATGCGTAAGAGCCATGTTCTATTCACTGAATAATGTTGACTAAATGAAAACAAAATCACTTTTTTTACATGAACTAAATTAAATTAAACTAAATTAAATTAAACTAAATCAAATTAAACTAAATCAAATCAAGCTAAATGAAAGTAAACTAAATAAAATTAAACTAAATAATTTTTTTATACACTAGATTTATAAAATTAACGTTTCTTTATACAAACTAAATTAATTTTATAAATCTAGCATAAGCCCTGTGTACTGCCATCTACTGATTACATAATGACATACTATAATTATGTGAGGGAATTGGTGATTGTTACCTGGCACAGAGTTAAAAGTGTTTTAATTATTCTAGGTGCCTTAAATAGAATAATACTATGATGGATAAAACGCAATTTTATGGACTACGGGGCCAGTGGTTGTGGGTTCGAATCCCACAGCAGGCGCGGATGCAACTCTCTCTCTCTCTCTGTGTGTGTGTTCTCTGTCCTTTCTTCTGCGTGATTGTGTGAATGTAATCCGCCCTATAAACAGGTTGTATGACGTGGGAGACGCTACTCAACAGCCGTGGCTTAGCCACAGGTGCTCACTGGGTAACGATAAGATAGTAGCAATTCTGGCATTTCTGAGGACAATGGGAAATAGACCCAAGAGCCCGTAATAAACATAAATTTTATTTAGGCATATTTAATAAATTAAATTTTATTTGCAAACTTTTTAAGCATACATGCTGTAATACAACATATTTTTAATTTTTTTTAAATCTGCAAGTATGAATAGAGACACAGTGAGAGAATGATATTTTGCTTTTAAAAGATATCTGAAAATTATATAATTCCAATTAGCAAATAATAATATCTTACACAATTGATTGAATAAAATTGGTAGTTTTGACTTATTTTTGTTTTTGAAATTTGGAAAACAAATATGCCTTCCGGATTCCTGGAAGTACTTTTCTAAGCCGGAATGGCCACTTTTCTGAAAAAGACCAACAAGATCTTTTACTACATTTATTTTTGGCACAGGATAAATACGAAAAATTAATTTCAACAAAATACGTTGATAGGACGGTTTTTTAGAGTATAAGCCTATTTTCCATATTAATAATTTGTCCCCCCCCCAAACATTCAACGATAATTAACCATATTTGTCAAAAACAAGAATTCAATCATCTTTTTCATTCTTACCTTTTCATTGTTGCATGACCATTTTAGTGTTTGGAATAGGGTATGGCTTAGGAATATCCAACAACCATGTCTTGATGGATTCAAGATTATCTTGAAAGATGCGTAGGAAATGCTTCATTTCAGTATTCACTTTCTTCAAGTAACACGTCTCCAATTTTAACTTATGTAAACAGGAAATTGGCCGTTACATATACATCTTAATTTAGATGTAATAAAATGATAATTGTCTGAAAAAATAAATAAAATCGTTTAAGAAAAATTGATTTATTAAATATTAAAAATGACCATAATTAAAAAATAACAGAGAAAAGGAATCCCTTAAAGGACTAAAGATAAAACATTCTCTTACATCGAGTTTTTTTTTTTTTTTACCATGAATTTTCAATTGAGATTGATACTCAATGGTTGGAAGAGCACCCCCAGTCGCCACAAAGTTGAAATTGAAAGTCAATGAATTTGTTCCCAACGGACAGTTAGGAGCATGGGAAAGAGATCCAAGGTTGGCGAATTATCGAAAGATAACATAGCCCCATATAATCAATATTAGGTTTGAAAATACTTTGGCGATCGCGAATCGACAACAAGCACTGTGAGAATTAGAATAACCACTTAACCGAAACATATTTGTAAGAAATTAATAATAAAGAGTTATAAATATATTTTTGTTTTCGATTAAGCGCGACTGTGAATAAATGAGTCTACATTAGTATTGAAATAAAAAGTTAGCCGTTACATTGATCGATAAGAAAAGAACAAAATATTTTATGTTCGCTTATTATAAAAATTAACCAATTGATTTAATTTAAATATAATTCGATTAATAATGATTAATAAAATAAGTTTAAGTAATTAAAGAAATTTTAAAAGCTAGAAAATATATGTAATGCCTATTGTGGCATCATACTAACCTTTTGGAATCATATAAAAATATTAAAATTCAACTATGAAAATGAAATTAAGATACTCATCAGTTGAAAAGCACTTATAAGTAAATGAATTGTTAATAATTAACACTATTACTACTGCCTGTCTAACTGAAGGACTCATCCACCAAAGATTCGAGGGCTGTCTTTTGCTATGGAAACAAGAATAAGTACATTTCAAAGGTATTTTTTTCTCGTCAGCCAGAGTCAAAACAAGGCTAAAAGTTTTTGTCTTACATTCACCGATAATGTTCCACACAACTAGCAAAGAGAGTATTTTAGTTTAGAATACAGTAACTTAATCGGGAAAAAATAATAATAATTCATAAGTTCTTTCGAATTTTCAAATTAGAATTTTTCCAGATTCTCAATATATTGAAATATACAACAAAGATTTTTATAAACTATTTACACAATTAATATATTTATTTACATGAACATTTGATTGGAGATTAAAGTCGATGGGAATGTAAGTTAACAAAGTTATTTATTTGCTTCAAAGGCAAAATTAATTTTTTTTCTTCTAAAAACTTTAAAATAAAATAATGTCCAGAAAGATAATCTGATTTAAATGCTATTAAAAACAGATGAAAATTTTTGGTGTACAGATTTTCTAAGACCGACACTTCTTTTCGTGTGATTTTAATGACAGATTTTTCTATCTTTCAAAATATAGCGAAATCAATGGAAAATAAAAATTTTATGAGTTATTTGGAAAAATAAAAACACCACTCATGAATTATGAAATATTTCATTTCTTAAACTAGTAGATGTCTTTAAGTGTAGTACCTAATTGAGTTTGAGTTTTGTTAGCTTCATAGCTATTTAAATAATTTATCTATATATTACGAATTTCCTTTCATATTGTTAAATCTACTGCTATAAATGATACTTTTAATCATGTTTTTAATGTTTTTTTAATGATGCTGTTTGAATTGATATTTTTAACTGTGTTTTAATTATTTTTATTTTAGGGTTTATTACCCACCCTGCTTTCCCTGTATACTGTGCTTCAAAGCATGCTGTAATTGGATTAACTAGAAGTTATGCGGTGAGCATTCATCATTGATTAAACTTAGTTTTATTAAATAAGGAGTTTTGAATTAAATGTTTTGAAGTCAGGTATTATATGTTTAAAATTAAAAGAAATGATAAGACATGCTTTTGAAATTGAAATAGTTTAAAAAAATATATCTTCTTGTTATTTACCTTTTTTGCACTTTCGATCTGAAAGAGGAAAAAAAAACAATTACTTAACATGGTTCGGGTGAAAAATTAACTGTATAAAAAGAAAATTAACGAAACAAAATGGCAATATTAGGTAACACTATCCGAACATTGGACAAATATAATACGCAATGAAGGAAAAATAGGGATATAAATAATTTTGAATTTGAAATATTTGCCTTGAATTTATTTTCATTTTTCATGTGTGTGAGTTGCAGCCAATGAGAAATTCTTTTTTGTTTCGTTAGGTCAAAATTTCACGAGAAACATTTAAAATGTAGTGATAGAATGACAACGATGTAAGATAAAGAAATTGAAAGGTTCTTTTTTTAAAAAAAATGGCTGCACCATGTAGGGTAAAGTTGAAAGACAAGGAATTTAGTTTAAATGAATTAAAATTAAGAAGCAAGAAGATATTTAACAAAAAATATATTGATAAATAATTATAAACTCGACAAATATTTCAAGGAGAAGCGTTTTATTTCTGTATCTAATCTGTTGCCATCTTTTTTATATAAATATTACACTTTTCTGCACTGTGATGAAATTAAACTCATGCGAACTTTATATATGTTTCTGCTATCTGTGATGATTGCAGAAATAATAATCTTCATGCAGGGAAATCTGGCATCCTGCAGGCTTAAGATGGAACGACCGTGCATTTTTAATTTGTTTTTTTTCAATGTATTAAATGCTATACATAGCTGTGAGACAAAATTTAATGCTCTGCGTAGAATTTCCAAAGTCAAATGCGCTCAATGAAGAATTTAGAGAACATCTACTCAATATTTTTAAAAGGAAACCTTTAATTTGAGAGTAACAAATCAAGTGGATGCTTTTGTTATTATTATTTAAATTAATCACACGAGCAGCAATAATAATTATTTGAGTGCAATCGTATAACTTTCACATAAAGTGCAATTTAATTATAAGGTACTTACTAACCTGTAATTAAAAAAAAGCAAATTAAATATAACTGTTAATTTGGTTGCTTCTTAAATTCTGCTTATTGTTATATCTTTAAATTTTGGTTTTGTGAACCATAATGAAAAGCTCAATTTAAGTGGAAAAGAAACATTGTTCAAATTATTAATTTTGAAGTTGTTTATATGATTATCAAAACTAGCAGTCTGTATAATTATTTTTCAGTGCCCTAAATAAGGAAACAAACAATAAAAATGGACTACTCTGAATAACTTTTGATCTAATTATCGGATCTTCACGTTCTAGGACTCATTCTTAACAGTTTGAGGGGGTGACCATAAATATGCTAAGTAATTAGTGCAGGCAATATTTCAAGTTACCAAATGTGACACCAAACTGTACTTTACATTTAATAAAATATGTGTGATTTATTAGTTTTGACATCAATCACTAACTTTTCCATAAAATTTTAAATGACTTTTTCTATATTTGTACAAATTGTTTAATTTCGTATCAAAATCCGTCTAGTCAAAATAATTTTTTTAAAGATTCTAAATTAAATAACTTTCGGGTAACGTATTATTTTTAATTGATTATAAAATTGCATAATTTCATTTTTTTCAAAACTTCATGGTATGATGGCCAATGTTTGACTCGCAATTTAATATGATATTTATCTGTAATACGGAAACTCAAAAGAAGGGTATTTTTATTTTAACGAAGCATTTATTTTCTTTGAAGTTCCTTCAGCAAGGTCAATAAAAAGCAGCATTTAATTCAAAGCAAATCTTTAATTGAAAATAATTGAACAACAACTCAGTGACAAACATTTTTCATTTTTTAAAAACTGTAATTTTATTTAAACTTTACGTCATTTTTATATATAACCTAGGGAACATTGGCTAAATATGGACAAAACTTTAACGTAATTGTCCTGAAACATCACTCATGTTATAAACTCACAACAATTATACGATTCCATATTAGTCATTAAAACGAGTTATGTATATTATAAGACGATTGAGTCATCGAAGAAAAATCGTAAGTCTTAATTTTCTGACTAAGTTTTGATCGATAAAACATAAATAAATTTGATCTATAATATTTATTTAATACTTAAGTGTGAATTTACTACAATATAATAAAAACTATTATGATAAACTGTTTTAGAATCCTTTCTATTTCAATAAAGAAGGTGTGATGTTCTTTGCACTTTGTCCAAGTTATGTTAAAACAGATATGGTGGATCAGATAGGTGCAAATACTACAATTAAAGGATACAAAAATAAAGAAGACAGAGTTCTCTTAAAGTAAGTTTTATTTGGACTTAATTGCAAGTCTTGGAGTTATGTTAAGCCCAAGACTTGATGCAACCTGAAGTAGTTTGATCGCAAATTCCACGCTGAAAAACATTGATTTTCTCACCGGTTGAAAATTCCTTTCCGAAAACTGGGCTAATTTTAAACATAAAATTAATTCAATTTTTAGAACCATTTTCTTGGCAGGAAGGTAAATGAGATTTTCAATTTTGCCTACGATGAAGAATTGGCTATAAACATGAATTTTTGCACTAATAAATAACCAAATTTATGAAATTTATGTTCATAATTACAAATAAACTAGATGAGAAATGATCAAATAAATGAATGCATTGCGAACAAGAGAAAATAGCTTCCCAGTGTTGAACTCTTTTTCTTGCTCTCTCGATAGCCTTAACAGTTACCCAGATTTATGCAATTATCATTGTAGTTTTCGGCCGGCTGGATTCGAACTCCCGTTCTTACGAAAGGGAGTCCAGTGCTCTACCAACTAGGCTAGCCCGGCCTTCAAAACTATTAGAAATGATAATGGAACGGTCATTTTTATTTCTGCTTCTGATTCTGCTTTAAAATATGCCTGCAAAAAAATTTCTCGCCGGATGTAATAGTAGTCAGTCTTAGAATAATAAGGAAAGACTCATTTAATGCTGTGATTATTATTTAGCTTCTGAATTTGATAATTACCTAAAGCGAGTCCCCAAAGTTTCTCGAATTAGCTACTCGTTTAGGATTTGATCACGTAAATCAACCAAAGAGTGGGGACACTGATTTCGGCATTTTACCCGCTGTTACAACGTATCCCACAGATTTCCTATAAGATTTAAGTCAGGTGGTTTGGCAGGCCATTCGAAGCGTGAAAGAGTGTGCGAGTTGTTCGCAAAAACCAATAACAAATTCTTTAAGACTATTGAACTCTGCTGTTGTTATCATGAAAAACAGAGATATCAATAGTGCACTCATCTTGAAGATGCAGATTGAAATGGAAAATCCGATCCTCCAGGACATTAAAATGAATTTTGTAATTCATATTAGTGTATGTACATCTCAGTCAATAAATCTAATACATAATGAGAAAAACACCACTAATACAGACTGTTTAGAGCATGAATATTACCTTGAATACAACTATATTATTTGTAAATTATAGCTGAGGCATCTCAAAGTTGAGACATTTCCCAACTCTCCGCATTTTTCCTCTATCCGCTTCCATGGTTTCGCTAAATCTTAATTTTTTTCCATGGCAGTTCTTTCCAATAGGAAAATGCAATATACTAGCATAACGAGAAAATAAAAAGCGAGATTTGCTGAAACCATGGTAACGGAATGGAGTGTAGTAACCTTGAAACGCCTTTACATGGAGTATAGTAGGATTAATAATGTTTCATCCGTTGAGTTCATTCTTCCTTATTCATGTGTATTTTTTTCTCTTTAAAGCTCCGATGACGTCGCTCAAGGTGTAATTAAGTTATTGGACGATAAGATAAATGGTTCCACTTTAGTGTGTACAACAGAGGAAGGATTTTTCTATGTCGGATTGCCGAGGGAATTAGAAAACATATCGTTGGAGTAATTTTCTAGTTTACTTTAACATGTTCTGCTTAAGCAATAACGGTTATTACGAAGAACAATGCAAGCATGTATCATACTAAATGTACAAATAAAAGAATGATTTCTAAAAAAATCTTTTTACTTTAGTTTGTTTAGCTATCATTAAGTAAATTTTGATAGCATGAAACGATTTATTTGAGTATCAAATATCTGGAATCTCTATATGCATTAGCTTTGCTGCTTTGATGGGGGAAAAAAGAGACAAATTGTTAAAATAGAAATTATAATTTGTTAATTTTTAAAATAAAAGTGGAACTTGTGAAACAAACAATTAAAGGGCTAAAAAATAGAATGGGTTCCAAGTGTTTTTATTTGGGAGACGCTTATTCAAATGTCTTTTCAAGCATTGAGTGTACAAAACATTCCAAGTAAATTTAAAATATTTTAGCGTATGTGTTGTAGGCTAGTTGAATTATCGGGCTCTTAGCTAGTGATTGCTGCTATAATTCTCCAGGCTAATTGGATAAGTCTGTGGTACTTTCAAATCATGCTGAAACATTTTAGGCTTATTGCCATGAGCACACATTTTGACTTTTAAATTAACGTAAAATGAGTTTTTATGACTGTTACTTTACGGATTTTCAAAAATCAGTTTTATTTAAAACTGGTGTTAAACGCAGTCTTAGAGAAAAGAAATTAGAAAAAGGTACATTATTGATAAAGCGAACATTATCGATCAAGTGATCGATATCAACAGAATACAACTATCGAAAATTAGTATCTCTGTCATTACAGTAATTAATTTTTATAATTACTTTGTCATTACAGTAATTATTTTATATTAAAATGTTATTACAGGCACTTCTATTTAATTTTGCCCAACAGTAAATTTTCTCGCTGAATTGGCACTCATTACGAAACTTCATTTTTGGTTCAAACGGCGATTTCGTATATTTAGATTTATTATGATACATTTTTGAAGGAATAAATTAAACTCTGGAACATTTTGTTACATTTATACAAATGCTTGATCATCGGGTAAGGGAATTTCAAATCAAAAATCAGTTTTGCTTCAACAGATATAGATTTTCTAAATGGAATTTTTACTCTATATTTTGTCTAAATGTGCAAGTTTAGAAAAGATATGCATAATAGTGGATCACGTAAATGTGACAAACTTCTAGGGGATTTAGGGTATAGAAACCATGCTCAGACACGTTAAGGGGCGCTTCCCTTATATGATCTGTTCTGAAGTACATGAAGAAACAGTTCATAATAGCATCTAAGCGCTTCTAGTGGCTGTGATGCCACAATTGGCATTACATATTTATTTCCTATCCTTTTAAATAACTTTGATTACTTAAGCTTATTTTTATTAATGGAATTAGATTTAAAATAAATCAAGGACTTAATCTTCTTAAAACGAACATTAAAAATTTATTCTTCTCTTATAAATCAATGTTACGGAAACTTTTTATTTCATTACTAATGCAGACTTATTAATTCACTGTCGCCTCTAATCGAAAACAAAAATCTATTAATAACTTTTTAATCCTAAATTTTCTAACCGAAAATATGTTTCAGTTGCATGGTTGTAATAATTCTCATAAATTTGTTGGCGACTCGTAATCGCCAAGGTATTCTTTCAAACCCAATATTGATATGCTGGTTGGCTTTGTTTTGGCTATGTTATATTTTGATAATTCGCCAATTTTGGATCTCCTACCCATGCTTCTGTGTCCGTTGGGAACAAATTACACGTACTTTTTAATTTGGCTTTTGATTAGGCAGGTCGTGGGGATTTGTCTCCCATGGCCTGTCCTTATTAATATTATTATGCAAAATTGATCCAACTGAAATTCTTATGGATAATATTTATATTTTGGTACCTCGATCTCTGCAAATATATTAAATAAAAGCTTTTTATTAATTCTAATCCGGTTCAACTGTTAATATTCATCATCTTCTGTTTTTATTACTATCTTCAACTGGCCCACTATACCAATACAAACTCCAAAAACCTGAGATTTCCATATTCAACATAAATTGGCACCCTGAATACAACCTTCTTCATAGTGGCGTACATCGAGATTTTGGGGCATGGGTTTCAATTCACTTTTAATCCTCATTATCTGCCTCAACTCCTTCAGAAGTTTGCCAGAACATTTATACGACCCGCTGTATGCATAATGTTTTTTAGTTTGTGCATTTCGACAAAAAATGAACAAAAAATGCTTTTTTTAAACAAAAGAAACTGTAACTTGGAGAGAAAGTATCCAAGATCTGTTAAAAAAAATTCTCATTCAACAAGAAAAAAATTTGTTCCCCATCAGTATTATCATTAAAAAAGTGCGATTTCTCACAGTTTATGTAGTAATAGTTCGCTAAGATCATTATTAGTCACAATTATAGTCTTAATTCTTGAAAGCAATTACTAATGAAACTTTTTATAATTATTTTTGGTGCTCTAAGTGACTTGTACTTACGAACTTCCCTTTTTTACCCTGGATTTGGGGATTTGGCTCTTTGTTCATAATTTCCATTTTTTAAAAAACAAATTGTTACTTGCTACGCTACCTTGGGGACTTTATATTTTTAAATTTAATACACGTTTTAGGGTTGCAACATATCGAAAGAAAGGTTAGCTACACGCCAACTTGCATGACGAAATGAACTTGTGCACTGAGAAAAAAAAGTATAGTCATTACTGTAATTAATATGGTAAAATTTACCGTTTATCTATCTCTATTGTAATACCAAAAAAACTCAGGAGTTTTTAACAAAGGGCTTTGTTAATGATTTTTGTAAAATTTTCTATAAAATAAATTTTTATAATTTGCTGTCAAATTTGGTGATTTTATAATGATATTTTAGAGCATGACATAAAAACCATTTATTTGGCTAAATTTACTTTTCAGTTTTGTATTCTTTACTTTATGGGCGGTAATGAAAAATATAGTTTTGAAAACCAAAATTTCCGGTAAACCGCTACCATATGAACGGAAAAATCATTAAATTGTATTATATCGTATATTTTGGTGATAAAATTATAATTAAATACCGTATATTTTGGTTTTATTAACTAAAATTGTGGATATTCTTTTTTTAAATCAGAAATGTCAATACATTGCAGTTCGGTAATTTTACCAGAATTTTTTTCCTGCGAGTTTCAACATCTACTCAATTTTTCGATGAATTAATGCTTTTTGCCAAACTTCAACATTTTTTTTTAAAATTTCTGTTGACTTAGCAATACTTATAGGTTTATAGAAACATGGGTTCAAACTCTCAATTATAGTCGTGGTTTCAAGTAACTTGTGAAATACTTACATGCCTCGAAAACTGTGCACGTTTTCTTTACTCGTTCAGGCCTGACGTAAGGAACCAAAGATGAGTAATTATTAAAAACGAGAAATTAACAAATTTTTGAAGTGAAGCTCATTTTTTTTTAAAAGTATGAAGTCACGGATATTACCTTTTAAAATAAAAGTTTTCTTTGTAGCTAAAATCGTAACAGTGAATTGTAACATTGAACAGTGAACAATGAATAAACCTAACATTGAACAGTGAATAAACCCATGAAACAATTCCTTCGAAAACTGTTTCTTGTTGGAATGATTTGGAGTAAAATTTTCTGGTAGTAATAATAACCTTCCTCATTTTTCAAACTATCAGATAAACAAATTTCACTGCAACTGTTTCTTGTTGGAATGATTTGGAGTAAAATTTTCTGGTAGTAATAATAACCTTCCTCATTTTTCAAACTATCAGATAAACAAATTTCACTGCAATAAGATGACTGTTCAAGAAATTACCTAGGACACACGGACAAATAAGCATTAACTTTTTCATATGTGTGGATACAGTAAAGTTATATCTTTTCCTATAGTAATAGTAAATAAAGAATGTCGAAGTATTATTGCATTTTATTGTCAAAGAAATTAAATACATATACACAGTGGTAAATTAAAAGAAAAAGATATTTCAAAATTTCATAATACTGTTAACCTTTCAGCTAACGTGCGTATGTGAGAGATATATTAGAGACGAATTTCATTTTGTATTTTTAATCAAGATGACATTCTTTCTGACTGAATTGTAGTGGTTTAAGCTTAAGCTTAGCTTAAGGTAATAGTAAAAGAAAATATTAAAATCATGAAGCTTAAGCTGCCTTAAGCCTTATGATTTTAATATTTCCTTTTACAATTTTAATATTTATGCTCTCAAAATTTCACTATTGAAAATAATGTAGATGTATATATACTATTAATATACATAAAAGCACGCCTTCTGGAAGGTTAAAAGAACAATATATTGCGGACTAATAACAAACTATAGACTGCTGTGTAAAAATGCTACTTAAAGTTGGTTCACATTATCTACAAAAAATAATAGTTTAAGTGTTGGTTTGTTTAGTTTGTTTGTAATAGTTTAAGTTTTCCTTGTTTCTATGTAACTTATATATATATATATATATATATATAAATTTTTCAAGTAGCGCTTATAGTATATCCCCAATATTGAAAGCTTTCTGTACAATAGTATCCTCTGGGCTTTAGGAATAGTTTAATTGGTTCAATCTTCAGAAGAATTTACATATCAAGTTCCTCCTCATGTTATTTTCACTAATTTTTTTATTCTGAATTAAGTGTTGTGAACACGTGCTCGATTCTGGATATTTCTCCTTCGATAGTGTCTGCAATTTTGATTATATTTGCTGCTTGTTCACCAGTTGCATCACCCTTTACCAAACCTGAAAAATCAATAATGGCTGGTCCTAAGTCTAAAATTATTCCAGCATAAGAACCCACATTACTATTGCATTCGCCTTTTGCGTTTAAAACTTCATTGGCAGCTAGAGCAGCATGAGCACCATATACCACAGTTTTTGCAATACTTGCTGTTCGAGAAACATATAGCGCTGCTCCTGGCCAATCGAGAGACAACAAAGCTGATGAAAACAAGATAAACAACTTCAGTGAAACTGCTGCTAATGGAACAGCCAAACTAACACTGTGACCTTCTTTCACCAAAAACTCAACCATGGTGTCAAAAAGCTTTTTCCAATTTTCTCCATTAGGTTGGTTGGAGGACCTAGTTTCATCATAAACTCTTTTGAGCTTAACGAAAACAAATTCATATAGTTTTATACCAATTGCTGATTTGACAGCGTCCATGAGTTTGACATTATAATCGAACCAACGCATCATTACTTCGAATTGTCTTTTATCGTCCTTGATAACTTTTTCCGATCTCTTTGTGAGTTGTTCGAGATTGACTTCATGTGTGACACATGTGTATCCCCTTATAACTCCATTGACTGCAGAAAGTAAAGGTGCAGCTTTTTCTACGTATTCAGGCACAGTAACGTACTCTTTCATCGTTTTTGCTACTTTAATCAAGCCTGAAATATTAAAAATTCCATAATTAATAATTTATCGTGTTTCTTTTATTAATAAAAAGAGAATTAATAACTAGTTTGTAGAATGTAATTGTCATAAATTTAGTTTCAAAAATTTAAATTCATACAAAGCTGCCGAAAGTGCGAAATTTGAATAAATTTGTGGACAACTCTATTACTTTTAGAATAAGCCTACATAAAATGGCTGACACTGATCACAAAAGTATGGTTTATTTGCTTATATCTTTTATAGAATTATCTTTTACAGATGAGAGATGAATGAATAGTTTTTTTTTTAAAGTTGTAAGCTATACTCTTTTACGGGAATACTTCGTCGAAGTGATATCAAATTTCGCGTTTTATCTTCTAAATATACACCGAATGAAACAATGTAAATTCTTATTCCTACCTAAGCAAATGAGATATGCCTAAACCTATGTATATTTTCATATTTAATCGAATGAAACCAATAAGATAAATACAGTTAAAAAATTATGGGGGGTTCATTTGTATAAAATGAATTGAATAAAATGAATATTGTATAAAAGGTATAATATTTTATTCATACTTATTTTAGCGTTTGACTTTCCTATTTAGACAAGTTAGTTATTGAATTCTATTTATTTTCTATGCTAAATTAAACGATTTTCGATTTAATTTGATGCAACGAGATTTTTGCGGATCGAATATTATACTGTTTATACAAAAACTTTTATCACTTTTTAACCATTACTCTTATTGTCGCATGGTTAGATTCATTCATTATATTGTAAAAAACTATTTGGGAAACAATACCTCACTTGTCTATGTTACAAGTGGTGGGGCTGTGTACAAAAAAAATAACAGAAAAAAGTAAAATTTAAAAAAATGTGAATACGATGTGCCTCATAAAATACAACTGGTGAGTAGGACTGGGCGATATTAGAAATTATATATCGTGATGCATCGTCAGTTTTGCATTGCGATATAGCGATGTATCGCGATATAGTATTTTTGAATTTCATTTACTTGTAAGGCACAGAAAGTCAGATTTCTATCAAAACTTCATACTCAGATTGATTTAAATCAATTTATAAATTTGAAGATACATATATTTTGCTTAAGAAAGATATTAAATAAATTGACTACAATGTACAAATCTTACTTAAAATATTTATTGAAATGTTTGTTTAGAAATTCATAATACGCGTAAAACAAAGTGTTAAAAACTTTTTTTAAAGCGTCTTTTACAAATTAATATTTTCTTGTACTATTATGCATAAATAATTACATAATTATTAAGTTCGATCGTAATGTTCAATTTCTAAATGAAACGTTAAAAATTATTTGTATGTTTAAAACAAAGTGCTAAATAAATTTTAGAAAAAAAAAAACTTTTTTAAAACACTATTTTTTATTATTATCATTTCAGTTATTATAGTTCTATTATAGTTCATTTACGTCACACTAGAGCTGCACAATGGGCTATTGGCGACGGTCTGGGAAACATCCCTGAGGATGATCCGAAGACATGCCATCACAATTTTGATCCTCTGCAGATGGGATGGCACCCCCGCTTCGGTAGCTCGACGACCTGCACGCGAAGTCGAGCACTTTACGGTAGAACAGTTTAACGAGGACCAATACCGCACACCCTCGGTCCCTACGCAGACTGATCCAAGTGGTCACTCACCCGCACACTGACCGCAGCCAGTGATGCTTGACTTCGGTGATCTGCAGGGAACCGTGTCTTAACGATCAGTCCACTGCGGGACCTTATCATTTCAGATAAATAATTAAATTAAATTAAATAATGACCGAATTATGAACGAAAAAAAATTACATTTAATTTTTTAAAAATAAAAAAATTGTGATATTCTATAATATATTTAGCTAATTAACAAATAATATGAAAAGAATATTTTTTGAAAATTTTTTTTATACTCTCTAATAAAACGAAGTGCTAAATGATTTAAAAAAATGAATAAAATACGCAAACCTTTCGAATTTTTTTGTACAAACAAAGTTGACTGACTTATGTCCAAATCCAAATGACAAAAATAAATTTTGTTTTAACTTTATTTCTAAAAATAAAAACAAGATTTATCAATTTAAAATCAGTAATAAAAACTCATTACATTTTTAGAAGTTTCATACAAAAAGTTTTTAATAAATTAAAAGAAAGTAAAAAAATAACCTAACAAATTCAATTTTTTATGGGCGCCTAAATTAGATTGCCGATGGTTTTCACATTTAAAAGCAAAAAGAAGTTTTTTTTTTAAAAAAAAAACTTATTTAATTAATGAAGAAACTCTTCTTTATATATTCTTTTTAATAATAGATTGCCTTCAGAACAAGGTAACATCGGCGATCACGAAGTTAGTCCCACTGAAAATAATCTACAAGAAAAGTCGCGACAAAGGAAAAAAAAGCTAAGAGGCGCGAAAAGGAACATGCGATATAACGATACGTGTTCTAAAAACTCCGATTCTGATTCTACAGCTCACCAATCAAGGCCATTTCAACATAACGAAACGAACATCGTCTTCCACAGCGCGAGTCGACTTCGGAACGTAAGAGAAGAGTCTTATATCGCTATATCGTTACCATATATCCTTGCGTGTCTTATATCGCTATATCGTTTTGCGCTCGTTGTCTTTACTCGACGGCTTAAATCAGATTTCTGATGCATCGCCTTGAATGAAAGTCGCTGTATCGTCTTGCCGATATATGCGTTAAATCGATGCGTCTCGATACATCGATTTATAGCCCAGTCCTACTGGTGAGGTACAAAATGTTACAATTTATGGTTGGGAAAATTTAAAAAAAGATTTAGTTAATTAATTTTTTTGTTACGAGGTTGTGCAAAAATAAAAAAAAAACAAGTTAATTATGGCGCGTGACTACTCCTATAGTGGAAAAGTACTTAAGAATTGCAACAATAACCCCTAGAAATAAAAGAACATTAAAAAAAAACAAACAAAGGATCAATACGTCATTGTGATTGAGTTCCACATGCCTGTTGCAGATTTACTTTGAGCTGTCCATCTCCAAAAAAAGAAATAACTAATGATATTAAAAAAGAACAGAAGAAATGAGTTCTTGTTACGCCAAAAAAATGTTTTTTTTTTTATTTTCTATTTGCTGCAGAATGTTCAAGAGAACACACAATAGAGGAATCACAACATCTATTTTGAAGTAGGGACACAGCACGGTTTAAGAAATGTCACAACATCCACTTTGTAGAAACACATCATCAATTACTCGAGATACCGAGATATCCCAATCGCGAACTCAGGCTATGGTTGACTGGAATGCAATCTTGTCAAAAACACCAGGGCACACGGGATTCACTACGTTTGTTCACCCCTTTTTTTTAGAATGAAAGTTCTGATTTACTTCAAAAACCAAAGGAAGAAACACCAACAAGGCCATGGCGAAGGAAAATACTATTACCGGACAGCCAAAGGCACCCACGGGTGTGGAAGAAAGAACGTCATGATACAATTAAAAAAAAAACTCCGTCTCTCAAAGAGAGGAGGGGGTAAAAATGAAAAATCCCTGTTAAGGGATCGTAGAGTATTGATACGGAAGTTAATTCGAATGCACCCGCTCAAAAAAATGGGCGATATTTATATAAAAGGTTGAAGATTAAAGTTAAAGTACCTAAAATGCCGCAGAAATCGTATCTAAAAGGGACTTGAAGTGAACAGATGAATTGCCAAAAATCAAATCACAATTATACACAAACTGTGACTATATCGTTCAAACTACCATGTGCTGACATCAAAGGCTGCCGAAGGTCACAGGCGTGAAGATCGACAGTGAGGCGTCACAGGAGAGGGGTCAGGGTTCGGCCTAATTTTTAGGTCACGATCCCAACAGAAAATTGAGATTAAGTGACACAATGTCACAGTCTAGAGAGCAGTTTCAACAATAGCCATCTCTTTAGATTGCAAAAATTACTGCCGTCAACATCACTGCTGTTTAACCCCTTCCTTCTCGCTCCCGGGAAAATGACGGGGGGAGATTTCGCCAGCTATTTCTCGCTCCCGTGATATTGACGGGCTGAAGTATTCAGTAGTAACGCGCCAATAAGAATAAAACTAATTCATTTCTTTTGCCCGGAAAACATTTTATTTCTCATTTTACACCTGATGGCAGTACCAGGATATTTTTAAGGTAATAGTAGATAGTTAATTTCTTTAAAACTAATTGCAGCACTAATCAAATACGTAATACAAATGCAAAAGCCAAAAAAAATAGGCACTTTTATGACCTTTTTCTTGAAAATTAACCGATCGTTAAGGGGTTAACAAGATTTTCATCTTCACCGCTTCGCACTCTTATAATGCAAAAATTATTGGGTGAAAAGATATGAATTTTCTAAAAAAAATGATTGAGGAATTTTCTAATGTGAAAAGTACACACGATTCTGATGATATTTGTTTTTAAGATCCATGTTCTCTAAGAGGAAAGTTGGTTCACAAAGGGACTTGAAAAGAAAGTTCACCAAGTTGTTACGCAAACCCGCAAAAAATGAATGCAAACGACAATTGTACTCAACAAGTGGAACAAAGTTGAATACGCAAATGATCTGTTCAATGTTGGAGATCTGGTACACTTTAAAAGTCCGTTACAACGACGATTCATAATAGCAGCGGATGAAATTGCAGTTATAGTGAGTTTGTCGTTATAAAAAAATACTACATTTATTTAATATTACATCAGCAATTTAAAAAAAAAAACAAAAAACGAGACATTATTTTATTTTATTTTACTTTGAACTCGTATTTTAATTTAAAATAGATATCTGAGGTAGATTGTATTGGTCCATAGATTGTACAAGGAATTACATACAATTACAAAGGGGAATGATAAATGCGTGGTAAACAAAAGAAGTTTTCATTTGAAGTGTGTGCTGCAGGATTTCTAAAAATAGTTGAAGAATGTTTATTAAGGAGAAGATAGCTTAGCTGTTGGTCGCTGATCCATTGCTTTACGAAAAGAAGGTGTTAAAATTG